TATATCTTTCAAATATAATTATATATCTTTAGAATATATCTTTCAAATATAATATATATCTTTCAAATTTTACAGAGAAATTTGTAAAATTGACAAAATTATAAGACTTTAAATATAACGCGCGAATCTTGAAATAGACCTGCAAAATTTGAAACGTATTTTTCTTAAAACACTATTTTTAAAAATTTTAAAATTAATGTGATGAATATTTTGAAAACTGAATCGAATAACTTTAATTTTTTAAATAAAAGAGAACATTTTTTTGGGGGTGTATATACTTGATCTCAGACAAATACCTGAATCTGGATAGAATTTAAAAAATTAATAATTAATATTCTTTTGATCTTCAAGAGATGAATAAATTTCAACAAAACATCTAATTTTAAAATGACATCACTTTATTATTTTTAATTTTCTCTAATGAAATTGAATTTCAATATCTCACAAAATATCCTACAGAATAAAAGTAGACCAAGTTTATATCGAACAATTATACAAGTCAGCATGTCACATTATATTATGCATTATCGAACACGTTACGAAGAGACTCATATTGAACAAAAAATATTGACATACAATATACTAATTAAACATAAAAAAAAACATATTGAACTCGTACTAGAGACTCATATTGAACAAAAAATATTGACATACAATATACTAATTAAACATCAATAAAAAACATACAGTAAAATGTCAAAAAAATCAATTTCTAATATTTTTCAAAAAAATTCTTAGAAATCATCAATTTTTCACACTGCTTCAGTAAATTGGACCCTTAACTTAATCTCGGTCTACACATGTACAACGAACAGCGCGAGCGGAAGTGCCGAATGAGAGCATAAATAAGCGCGGATCTTCAACACGGTCCGGCGCGATATCGTCCTAAGGCATAAATCGTTAGAATCCTCTCGATAGAGCTCTCGTGAAAGCGGGTAGCGGGTAGAGAGAAGCTGACACGAGGGACAGGTGGTGCTAAATTAAGACTGGACCGTCGCCAGCGCGGCTCCAACATGGCCGGTCGAGACGTCGTCGTCGTCGTCGTCGTCGTCGTCGTCGTAGTCGTCGTTGTCGCTCGCTTACGACACGGATTTATCAGAACCGCTTTCTGACGTCTACCGCGACGTCCGCGAGACCGGTGTTGAATTTCACTCGTCTCTTCTCCACCTACATTTAGCTAATTCCAAAACGCCACCCCCGCACCATCGCGCTTTACGCATCTACGCCTATGCGTGACGCCACACCGACGATGTTAACATGATAACGCATTCGCCCAACGCGAATTTTCGCGGATTAATCGACGGCTTGTTCGCCCATGACGAAAAAATTTCCGCCATTGTTCCACGTACATTAGCGAACTGCGCCACATTATACGCTCCGCAGATGTGACGCGATCAATTCGATTAAATTAGATCGCATCAATGAGGATAGTGTCATTTGAGAAAACAATATTACAGAATTATCTTGAAATTTAATCGATAACAATTTATGTAATAATTATTTCCTTTTTTTAACGGTAAACGGACTCAAAATCTTTTTTCGCTATGATTTTTTTCTATTTGTCGCAATTTTCTTACGTTAGAAACAAATAGAATTAATTAATGCAGCTAATAATAAAATTAATCAATCTGGTTGTAAAATTTACGAGGAATTTGGACCCGCAACTTCGACCTTCGCGGGAATTGATTGCCCTTTGCATGGGGCCCCCGCTGGATCGCACAAAAAACGAACCCCCCTCGCGTGCGATGCACTTATATATTCACGCGTCTTTCACACGATTATGACACATTTCTCCGCGAGACGAGGAAAAAGTTAAGTCTCCCGCATCTTTCATTAATGAACAAGAGATAAAAAATGGGTCTCTCAGATTACTTGATAAAAAAGGGAAAGACGCCGCCATCATTCAAAGAGCGATAAAAAATTGAACTATAAGAAGCGTTTCACTAAGATTGTGACTTTTTCCCACAGTCGCGGAAACAACCGTGGACAATCTCGGAAAGACGTCACGCAATTGTTCGCAATAATAGCGCCAACTTAAAGTTGGTCATGCTGCAAACTAATAATTACGCGATAAACACTCGAGTAAATTTCAAAAAAAAGAAAAAAGAAAACAGAAAACATCGACACGGCACCGTATTTCGTTATTATACGACAGAGAGCTATACCGTGTTATTTGAAAAGTCCAAAAATCACCCACGTACAACACCAAAAAATACAACACCAATAGCGACACCAAGTGTAGTGTAAGCCTTCACCACACACACAAGGTTATTAATATATTATAGTGGTTAGCGGATCCCCTATACAAGTCTCGGGACGGACATCCATGTATTTCCATGAAAGAAGACACTTCGATCGACCTTATCGCATTCCAAGGAAGGAGGGTATCTATTTCGCGTTCCCTTCATTCCGACCATACGAACTGTGCGTGAATTTTTTTTAAAATAATAATTAAAAAATTTATTTTAATTTTTAAAAATAATTTCACAAAGATCGATCTTTTCCCCTACAGCTCGAGCTCGCGCGAATTTCTCGCTCGATTGAGATATCGCGAGTAATAGTCACAATGAAAGTGAAATAAATTGAAAATTAATAATCTAAGAGTCATCGAGTAGCGCACTTCGGAAAGAGCTTACTTCAATTATCGATAAGGGCTCCATTTTACGCGCTTGATGAGATTTTCGTGCGGCATTGAAGAAGCCTCCGGGCCAAACGAGGTGAACCGCGATAGGATCGATCGTCGCGCGATCAAAAATTAATACGCACCGTTCGTGTCTCTCGGCGCCGGTCGATTTCCGGCGAGGAGCCCAGAAGAAGAGACTCATGCGCGGCTCGCGAAATCGCGGTCGCGTTCCTCTTTATTCACCCGAATTCCATAACGTCTCATCATCTCGCGGCTCTCCTCCGTATGCTATTCCGTATATTACTCCGTATATTACTCGTTTCTCGTTCTCGCGAAATCGCGAAAGACGCTTTAAACGAGTGAGGCCTGCATGGTCTACGTATCTCGAAAGACTAAATATTTATAAGCAATGGCCGAACGGTTCCCTGGCGGATCGGAATGGATCAGATACGCTTCTTCCTTGGCTCGCGTTAATTTAACGAAGAAACCTATTCCGAAATTTATGTGGCTCTTTATGCCTTATTCCCGTTCATAATTCTTTAATTCTAAAAAAGAAAAAATGCAACCGGATGAGCTACATCTGGAAATCAGCATTTTTTTCTACGAATCTCGTTAAAGTGTCTAATAAAGTACCTCGTTCGTTTCGACTATAAGACAAATAATTCGACGCGGAAGCATTGCGAATTAAAATTTGCATCTAAAATTGGAAGATGTTATTCTCGTTTCGTTTTAGCATTCCCGTCACCAAAAAAGGCAAAACAACAGCAATTATAATAAATGATGAAATACATACATTTTCGAAAATAAATGAATCGCTAAAAAACGCTAAGACGAAAAAAGAAATTTTTTTATTTGTACAATTGCTTAAGAAAAATCGCTCATCAGACAAGTACAAATTTATTCATTAATTTATTATTTTAAATTGCTAATTTCAATAATATTGTAGATCGACAAAAAAATTACACGATATTATTTAACCAAAGAGCAGTTAAAATAAAATTGTTTACTCGAAAATATATCAGATTTTTCATTTTAGTTTAATTTTTCCCAATGCGTAAAAGAAAAATAATCTAAATAAATAAGGGAAAAAAATATTATAAAAAATTCGTTTTTTTAAAGTCACGAAGTAATTTTGAAAAGTTTTAAAGTTAAATGTGATTTCATACAAATTATTAAATATTTGAAACAAATCTTTTTTTAGACAATAATACATTATCTTTTATCTCATCATCATCTTTTCTGTGTATTTATAATAATAAAAGATTAGATTTTGAAATACTAGAATGGCTCAACTTTGCTTTGCACGACGCTAGTGTCGAATCGAAGAGGTATAACAGTCGATACTGCGATTTATTATCATCCCGATTATTATCGTCATTAATATTATGCTAATTAAGAAAAAAGAGTGTAAAAGAGTAAAGATGTATAAAAATAAAATAAAAAAATATTAAAAACCAGTAACAAACAATCGCAAATCTCTCAGCAACCGCAAATCATTATCATCACTTCACGTCAATTTCACCAAGAAAGAAAAAAACACAATCAAAAAAAGTACGTTAGGAGAAGAAGAACAACAGGCCGATCCTCGGAAGATCTTCGCTATATACTTCATGGAAAGAAACTTGTAGGTACTCATACGTGTAGGTTTCTGATACGTGTGCGTGTGCCGCTTTCTCTCTCATTCCATTTTTCTCTCTCTTTTTCTCTTTCTTTCATCGATCGCTAATATATTTCTCCTTTTTTTTCTTTTTCCCGTCTTTGTCTCTCTTTCGCATTAATATAGGATCCTTAGAATGGCCCTTGGCCCTCTCAAAGATCTCGAAAAGAGGACTCTCTGCCTGTCTCCTTACGCACGTGCGTCAGGATGCTGAAACGTCATATATATAATGGCTTTATAAAAAAAGCTCGTAAAATTATTCGACCGTGCGAATCCGTTAAGCGGAATACCTTCTTAGTTTTCAAACGTTGTATCAACGATTAATTTTCATCACATCCCAACCCAATATCCCCGGGAAATTCTACTCACGAAAATGAACGAATCGTAATGTGTTCGCGTAAGGGTGACTCGAAAACTGATAATTCATTGACAATATTTGCAAAAAGATCGATCTTATTTTTTGCCACGTTACAAATTTGTATAAAAGTTAAGTAACAGTTTATTTTATTCACCTATGCGCGATAAAAAAAAACCGTTCGAGAGAGCGAAAAATTTGTAAGGACAAACAATCTCGTTGATTTTAGCGAGAGAAATTAGTCAATAATTACGCGAAAGATCGCGTTACGAACGATTCTTCTTGACTTAGATTACTTTGATCTCTAACTACAGTTACGACATATGCGTTCTTAATCCCTCGACAAAGCACATAAATGTACTCACCCGTATTGGCCAGGAAGTACTGCTGGATAACCGGCCCGGATGCCTGTAGCGAACGGGAATGCTGAAAAAATCATAGATAATCATAGATAATCGGTGAATTTCAATTTTTAATAACTGATTCGCAAATTTGTATTTTTTTATCATAATCGAGCTTGTTTAAAACATCTTTCTTTCAACAAGAAATGCTAAAATTATTAACAACTTTGTTTTAATACTTTGTAGAAGATGTCCATTGGAGAAATTTTGCTGGAATAATTCGTTATTTTTATGATGTAGAAACAAACTTTAAAATAGCAATTTCTACTTTTTTGTTATTGACAGTTCGACACTTTTTTTTTAAAGAAAAGAATCAAAATTAATCAAAGACGTTTTATTTGCAAAGAATTTTTATTTGTGATAAAGTTTTTAAAAATAAAAGACATGCTTTTAAATTATTACATTTATTTGTTTGCGCACAAACAAATAAATGTAATAATTTAAAAGCATGTCTTTTATTTTTAAAAACTTTATCACAAATAAAAATAATGACACGTGTGAACAATACATTGATAACTCATTGCACACTCAACCATGTAACATTACACCCGTTCAAAGTTAGTAGAAAATTCCCAGTAAAAATAATTCATATTCTTAGCTGAAAATCTGTGTCATGTGCCACCTTCCATGTAATGTTTTATTCATTAGCATGATCAATATAGAACCAGTATTCTGTTAAAGGAATCTTGCCGAATCAATATATGATATATGAAATTATCGTATTACGAAAACAGAGGACGCGATATTTGTCGAAGAAATAATTGAGCGACTAAAAATTTGCATGATTCATCGAGAATTTGCGCTCGCTGCATCGATCATCGGAAAGAAACAAATCATCCAATAAAAAAAGAAAACTTATAGCCGCTTCGTAAATACATTTATGTGCGTTTTGTCATTATTCTTTACTTTTTTTTTGTTTTCGAAATTTTCTGCTTGCTAATGATCATTTAATAAGTGTGCGCGATTACAGCATCGTCAGATAGGAAAGGACACATGCGTAAAAGCGGACATGTAGATACGTGATGCGTGCACACAAATTGAGATACTGATGCACCGATGGCATGCTCGCTATCTGAGAGTGCATTACGGCGCGCAATAAACTTGAAATGGCCATGCAACCGAATATATAACGATTGTTATCAAGAATATGTCTCGCCCTTTCCGACGTATCGTAGCGCAATATAAATTAAATTGGAAATTATTTTTAGAATTATAATTCATAAAAACTATCTATCTTCTTCAAGACAATTTAAAGTTCTTCACAAAGTTTGATTAAATCGAAAAAAATAATCTAAATATATGCCGAGTATAATTTTTCCATTTTTTTTTTCACAATTTTTTATTTCAAGATCAAAACACTTTGACACTTTTCAAAGTAAAATCAAAATACTATTTATAACTTTCAAGAAAATATCAGATAATGTCGCGAAAAAGATTTGGAAATGTGCAAGTAAGAGCAGATTTAAACGCGATCTAGTTATTGCAAATATGATAATTTTCATCGGGAATATAAACTGGAAATAGTTATTTTGGAGGGAAAAAAACTAGACAATTCGGTACTTGGGTTAAGGCAATTTTAGACTTAGGTCTCGAAGCGCCAAGCTATGTTGGCTCAAAGCCATTAGAAAAGTTCGAGAGAATGATTCAAGGAACACTTTACTATTTGGCTGACCGTTCCTCAGCCCTATCGACTTGTCACATCCACAATGTATATACCAGAATTTGTATAAGAAAATATTTGATAAGAAAAATCATTATTAAAAATCATTAACTCTTTTCGGCAGTATATCAAACTATTATTTTTATATTTTGAATATTACACAATTTTTTCTCCTAATTAAATTAAAAATTTAATGTTTTGATTAAATGTTTTGTTGGTCTTTCATTAAATTTTACCGTACACAATTAATAAATAAAAATAAATAGTGCAACGGAATCATCTTACGCATCCCAAGATGTGCGTCGCATGACAACGTATCGTTGCGACGAATGAGGTTTCAGCGATTCTGGCAATGTATCAAGTGGAAAACTTGTGACTGTGACGCGCATCTTAAAAATAATGAAATATCAAAAACAACGAGAATCAAATGCGAAATAAGAAGTGATCCTAAACAGAAATTACGTAATCGCGATTCTTGATCAGAAGAGCGCAAATATATTAATTCTAATTGCGAGGATAATTAATTCGGATACTTGAAAACTCTATACGAATGATTAATTATAAGAATTAAACGGGAAAACTGTGTCTTATCAATATCAATTACAAATTCATTTCGACTAATTACAAGATGACCATTAAATTGATCTGAAAACCTCGATATTTTAAGGGTCAGCCATTATTAGCATCAGAAATAAGAGACAAAGTAGTACAAATATGTTCTTTATCGACAAAATAAAGTAATTTATTTAACTATAGAGTTTGCATATAGAGTTTGTATAACAATTTGAAATAATTTGATACATCGCGATCGAAAGAATAAATAGCTAATAATAGCTAATATAGCACACATAATTTAGGAACATTTAGAAAAATGTCAGAACGATAAAACTTACTCGTTTGCAAATTGCCCCTGGGTTTAGCTCCGAGAATGGCCAAGTTGACGTTTGCCTTGCGACCATCGATGATGGGATTAGGATCTTTGCATGCTCTCTCCGCCGCCGGTCTGTCCCCCATAATTACCTGCATACAGATTAAATTTATCCTTTGATTAATCAAGAATAAATGAATACGTATTTTTTTATATATTTTGCCAATCATTTTTTTCCTATTAATCAATAAAAAAATATGTGTAATAACAAAATACATATTTATAATAAAAATTGTAAATTTGTATTTTTTTTATTATAAATTTGTATATAATATATATCCGATATCAGGTTAAAATCGAATGAACAAGTGACATCGATTCTCTTGTAATTACTTACAAAGCCATAGCCTCTGCTTTTGCCAGTCTGTCTGTCCGTGATGACGACCGCTTCTTCGATATCTCCGTAAACGTTAAAATGTTCCCTGAGACTCTTATCGGTGGTATGATAGGGCAGGCCGCCGACGAACAGCTTCGTCCATGTTGTGTCCTTTTGCTGCGGCGTAGTACCCGCCAGGGCTCCCAGCCCTTGTACCAATTCGTCGGGCGCTGGGGCACCCACGGCACCCACGGCGCCCACACCGAGACCCGCGGCACCCGGCATCAGCATCCTCCAAATTTTGGCGAGATCGCCGCCGGACGGAACAACGACTTGCTCAATCTTGACACTTTCTTTGGTACCTCGGTCAATGTTAATCACGCCACAGGCCGTACAGCATTTAGACACGGAATGCTCTCTGTTCTGCAAACAGAAAGAATTTATGTTAAAATAAGAAGAAAAAAATTAATAAAAATAAACGTATAAAACGTATAATTCACATCCACAGATACGAAAAAACCTGTGTGTTCTGTAATTTGATTTTAAAATAATTGGTAAAATCGATAATCTTAAATATATATGTGTTTCTTTTAAAATAGAAATATATAGTTGGAATTGTATTTGTTACTTTCCTTCTTTAATAAAAATATAAAGAAAGCGAAAATTAACTATAGATATATTTTTCATCGAGAATAAAGAAATAATAAAATTTAATTTATAAAATGAAATTAACACATACTTCTTTTATTTATAATTTCTGTGAAAAAGAAACTTCATTTAAATTTAAATTGACTTCAAAAATAATTTTTAACTCACTACAAATAATCAATTGGAATTTAAATTAATTAAATCTACAATTAATTCTCATTAAAAACAAACAAAATTCTAATTTTTCAGTTTTAAAAATATAATTTTTTATTCCATAAAATATGCAGTAACAAAGACTTGTTTTAAAATAAAAATATTTTAAATCAAATCGATACGTATATATTTTCGTTTATCATAAATAGACAGACAAGATTTAAATATCCCCAAATTTAAATATCTATTGCATCGCGAGAATACGATAAATAGAATCTGTATACAGCACATCTATTTTCCTTTAATCTTATCTGTAAAATAAATAGCAGCATAGCATATATATCAAAATTTTCTTATTTCAATAGAATAGTAATATTTAAAATCTTTATTTCTTTTTATTTTATCTCTTTACAGAAGCAACGAAAAATTCAGTTTAACATAATCGAACAAGATTTCAATTATTTGTTGAAACATATTCTCATTTCTAATGTACACTAGATGTTCTAGACAGAATAATTGCACGTCACATAATATATTAAGGAAGCAAAAATCGATATAAACGATCAAACGTTCTTGTTCATTTAATGATGCTTGATATACATTGGGCCCTCAAAGTAGTATGTTTGTTACGGAAGGATTAATTTGTGTACCGCGTTGCTGTTTAATTCAACTGCGTCCAATTAAGGAGGCCGCACGTGCGGTTTAGAAAGCTTTGATGAAAAGGTTCACTTCCCATCCCTCCGAGGGTGAAAGAACTACTGCACTTGGTCATGCAGGATCGATACATAATGTGCATGTCTATGTGTGAGAGTTTCGTGCAATTATATTGCAACCAAATTGACACGCGTGCATTATAACGATGCGTGCGTTTTAACGGGTGCGTATTAACAGTGCTGTGTTATTACAATTGTGATCTGATGTCGATAAGCGAAGTTCTCGCGTTTCTCACTTTTCTCCCGAGGAATTTTATATTACTGATTTGTAAGAATATATATACGCGGCTTCACTCGCGTTCAGTGAAAGGGGAATCATAATTGAGTAAAATGGACGCGGAAATTCTTACGCAAAAAAGAGATATCGCTACTACTTAGGCGCCAAGCAGAACTTCAGAAAACAATTATAATAAGCAATGTGAAATTATATTAATTAACGCTTAACGTGTAATCAACAAGAAATTCATATAATTTTCAAACGTAATTTAAAACAAGAACAAGTAAAATAAAATATTCTTTAAATATCTCTCTGAACAATTGTTTTTAAGCATAAAATTAATTCCTTTAGCATACATTTTTCATAAACACAAAGCAACGTGAAAATAATATCAGTTCCGAGATTTAAAAAAATGTTTTAATTTTGCGAGAAAGATTTATTTTATATTATGTCTTAAATTTTTTATATAAATAGCAGAATTTTACTTATAAATAAAATTTGCAAAAATAGAACCGAATGAGCGTGAGTAATGTGCTATCTAAAATAACATTGCCTACGTAATAAATCATGTCATGACTCAATCATAACAGAGCTCGAACGAGGTTTAAAAATGTTAAAATTATTGAAATAGTAAATTATTATGAAACACACACACACGTTAAATATAATATCTTTTCAAAATTTCCTCTATAAAAATTCGAAGAATATAAAACCAGCTCGAACATCAATCAAAAAAATAAACACAGTTTGTATTAAAACATAATAACCCTCTTTATACGAAAATATATAACTGTACTAATATATACTCTTTTTAGATAAATATATCGACTTTTATGAATTTTTTAAATTTTATATCTAGTATTTATAGAATATTCATAGTATTTATGGAATATTCATACGCAAAAATCAATTTAACGGAGAAAGTATACAAGGTAAAAAAAAAAATAATCTTTTGAAGATACCATCAGCAATATGGTGATGCAACATGGCATACGCACGCACATACATATGCACATATGTGTGTGCGTGTACATCTGCGCTCGCAACTTCCTGCAGCACGAGAATTGATGGACGACGAAAGAGAATCGTCCTCTAGTTTCGTCTGACGCACGTATTATTTTCGTCTATCTTCTCTGTCCGATTCACCCGAATCGATGACTACTCTAGGCACAAAGAGAACAAATAAATCTTCCCGTTCTCCTTTTGCATGGAACCCCTGTATCGGGGAAAATCCGATGGAATAACACAGAAGGAGCGAGAGAGAGGGCTTTACCCCGAGCGACGAAGAGAGTTATATACCAAGGGATAAGAAGAAAGGACAGGGGAAGGGAAAAGGAACCCTGACCTCTATCCAAGGTTCTGTCCTTCTCTTCTCTTCTCTAAAGACGCCTGAAAAGGGAGCCAGTTTTGCTCCTCGCTTAGAGAACGATTCGAGGGAACCAGGTAGTAGGGCATTTTTCGTGCGGCTCGTCTTTCGAGTTTCTGCAATGCGTTCTACGGTGCCAATGGTAAAGGAGGAAGAGAGAAGGCCTTTTCTCCCTCGTTCCTTTTTCTTTCTCCTTTCTCGTTTCATCGCAGCGTGTTCCCAACGCGCTCTTGCTTCTCCTCGTCCGCGCGTATTATGCGCGCCGGGCCCTACGGCGAGGACAGAGGGGCCCCTCTGCCGCAACCCCCGCCTACTCTCCTTGCCCACCCCTCCCCCTGTCTTTTTCTACCGGTACTTCAACAGAGCGATCGTCCGTTCCCGGTCGAGATCCCCCAAAACGACGGCGGCAGCTGCTGCAGAAAACCGGTGCAGCACGCCGTATAATCATATTGTTGTATTGCCATCACCGCCCTCTCCTCCTTCGCCATCTCGTCCTAGACATTCTAGTTCACGCTAAGCTTGTCGGAACATTTTCTCAACGGATAAATTTAAAAATCGAAAACGGATAAATTTAAAAATAATTTCAGATTGTCGAATTAGATATGTAACTTTATATTATTTAACTGTGGACTATCGATATTCTAATAAAATGATACCGACAATTCGTGAAAAATGCTGAGAACAGTAATTTTAAACTAAGAAATTAATCCTCTTGCTAAAATAACACAATAATTATTAATTATTAATCATTAGAATAAATGGAAATAAAAATTTCGATATTAAAATTCTAGAAATAAATAAGATTCATGTTTTCTATCTGTTTAAAAGTTCTTATTCTTTGACAGATTACGATTTTTAATTCTTTCCTATTTAAAAAGAAAACTTTTAACTTTATAATATATTTGTCTCGAATTCTTTAGCTGTGCAGTGTCGACTAATCCTGCCATTGCCAGGAGTAGTTTCAACCCTTCAGGTAGTAAGAAGTACCCGCTTGTAGAGGGTAGAAACAATGGCCGTACGCCGGCTGCTTCGTAAGCCGGCGGAAGCATACGGCAAACGCGCCTTCACAATCGCAAAACACGAAAATTTCGACCGATTCTCAGCTGTATTCACCATATTCCGGGACAAAGTATCCTTCCGGTTTTGTTCGCACTCAAAATAAAATTTATGTGCATCGAAAAAACAAGAAATTATAAATAAAAATAAAATTATAAAGAAAAATATTACTTCGCGATACGGGAGTTGTGTAAAAAAAAAAGAGAGGAAGGAAAAAGGGAAGGCTCGTGAAAACGGTCTCTTGTTCTATGGGACACCCGTTGAGAGGCACTGGTTTTTAATAGCCCACACGTGGATTGTGCGGACACCCCGTGGTGCACGGGGAGAATGTACTTCTCGAAGACGCGTTGCATTTGGGCGACAAATTCCCAGCCCTATGCGTTGTCGTCGTCGTTTTTCGATCGCATCTAGCGTGTGCCATGCATTCGGCACTGGCCGATTGCCATGAGCCCCACGAAAACCACGAAAATATCCTCTCGGCCAAAGTCGCAGACAAACCAGACTTTCGAAAAGCACACGTGGCTTTCGTCGAGCTTCGAGAAAAAATGTCAACTATATGCGAGAGTTAATTGTAGGCGCGAAAAGTTCGTTAACCTAAAGATACACCTGCGACTTTTTAAGAATCACTACCGCGAAAATTCTCTCACACATTGCTTTTACTGTGAAAGATAGTGTATTGATTTTAAAAGGCAAAATAAAATAGTTATCTTTTATTATTTAAATTTGACATCCTGTGTCTTTCAATTTTTTTTAATCATTTAAGTTTGAATTTGCAATTAAAAAATAAATTCTTATTTGTACTCCATAAATTACTCCATATATTTAAGTAATATTAATTGATTTTTATATACACGGATTCGATTTACCTGCACGTAAATTTTTTCATAACATTTGCATACGTAGCGTCAATTAAGTTTCGAAACAACTGTTTCTTTTGCGAACTAATTAGCACGTTAATATTATTCGCGTCTTTCCGTAAAACTTGCCACGACGAGTTATAGTTATACGAGGCACAGCTTCGCCACGCAACCGATAACGTCATTATTAAATTGTTTGCATCTCGTGCAGAAACACTTGTTGAAGCACGATTGACAATAAGCGTGTGTGTTTGCTAAAAGTTTATACTACCGGCATTGACGTTGTACGCGTTGTCCGAGGCGCGTTATGCGCTACTTGCCTGTTGATAGCGTGAAAATTGCGTGGCTTGCCTTTTTCTGCATCGAAGATACCGACTATGTAAGAAAATAGTACATTGTAAATCGCGTGTTAGAATCTCTAGAGAAAGAAAGAAACACTTTCGTTCCGTGCTATTAGAGAAAATTTTAAAAAACTTGGAGAGTTTTCAAGTTTCTGTTGCACGTCTTCATAATTCTCTTTTTAAATTATATATATATATATATACATGTAAATTATATGTAATCATTTTATTAATATATTAATTAGATATTTAAAAAAATTACAAATGCTACGATACATATATATTATATAATGTGACGTCTCTTTAAAATATAATATCAAAAAAGAGCACTAAAAAAATACTTTACTCTACTAAAAAATTATTAAATAATTAATTAAATAATATTAATAATAATTAATTAATATTACTAAATAAATAATAATTATTTAATTAATATTATTAAAATTATAAAAAAATAATCTACAACAATCAATGATTGATATAAAAGAATGAATAAAAGGCTTATATAAACATGGCGCAAAATAGACCCTATAATACTTTGTATCGTTTACATTTTATAGAATCCTCAGAACTCGGCGAACTTCCGAAAGAACATCGTATTACATTAGCATAACTCGGTCTAGACTAGTCCCGTTACTTCTCAAGATAAGACAAACATAAAAATCGTAGCAAACTTTCGCGAGCAAATAACTTCCACATTCCTATGCAAACTTGCGAAGTTTCTTTTGCGCGGCTTTCGCGAAAAAGAAAAGCGGGTAAGCCCTACCGCTGGAAATTCCTCTGGTTGAAACGCTTTCAGAAATACATCACTATATGATCGATTAATTAATCTTAAGCTAGTCAAAAGAATTTAAACTTTACAATTTCGATAAAATTCCCATGCTTGAGACCTGGCTTCTCATCGCAACATTAATCCGTTTAGTTCACAAGATGGAATATATTCACGGATATTATTCCGAGCAGTTTTTCGACCAAAGGTACTATCACCTGCGCCCGTTTCCAGACGTACTAGCTCGGACGAAATCGCCGGGCACAACCGTCGGGGTTTATTAATAAACATCGGGGAACACGTGCCCGGTCGTCGTGGCAGCCCTTTGTCGCGGCCACCGGGCCGTTGAACGGGGGTTGAGAGGAGACAGCTGAGAGAGAGGAAGAGAGAGAAAGAAAGACAAGAAGCAGACGGTTTTACGAACGCGCGCAAGATGGCCACGCGAAGTTCCGTCGACGAAGATAAACAGAATTTCCTGCGCGCACAAATTTGCGCGCCATGCGATTCTACACATATACACACACACACACACACACACATACATACATACAATCTGCTGAATAAATCGAATTCAGTCGAGAACGCCACGTTTCGTGCGATTGATCGTACAGATCGCATCGGGGGGGCAGGGAAGGGCACGTTAATATCGTTCACAAGACATCCAATTTTTTTATCGATGCATCTCAATCATCAGAGAAGGAGAGAGGAGATGAACAATATCTTTACCCCTGTCCTGGCGACAGTAATTTCTCTTTATAGTCGGAGAATCGTTTTTCAAGAGGAAACACTATTGTTATCTCGTCAGCAAATTAAATGGATTAAAACTTCTTACTGATATTATGATGTTAAATGTGTGTGTTTGAAATATGTTTGGGATAATTAAAAGGCAAGATAAAACTATAGCGAATTGCAGTTTTTTGTATTCTTATATAACTGAACTGCGCGTGTATCTCTCTATACTTTTTTAACGTGTTATACTATCTTATTTTTTTTTTACTTGCATGTCTATTCTTTTTTTAGCTTCCGTCGTTTTATTTTTTTCTCAATCAATAATTCTAGAGTAAAAAATTAAGCCATAAATTCAAATCAAATGGAAATGATAAAAATATATCTCAATCACAAACAAAATGACATTAGTCATTCTCCAAGTGAAAAATAATATTTTTTATTTATACGTCCTCAAGAATTATAAATTAATCCACGATCGATCTTGTCGTCGCGCGCATTTTTATAATTATACCGCGCGATGTGAAAACACGTTAAGCGATACGCCATAATGATAGCAATTAAGGAACGATGCTATCAACGTTAATGAGCCGCGCAACTCCAAAATTCATACAGCGAGCGCAGCGATAGCAGCCTTATACACGGTATGCATTAAATATGACGAGTGCTAACGCGCAAGAGCGATGACTTTTCACGAGTTATCTGGTGGCCAAGCGTGTGCTATTTTCGAAAGAAATAACGGTGAACGGAGCGCAGATCGAAAATAGATCGATCGAATAAAAGAGGAACGTGCCGCGACTTAATTACTTCTCCATAGAGTCAATTTGAGAATCGATATGGAAAGATTGCTACAGCTACTGCGTCGAAATCTTCCCGTTATCGTCGTAATAAAATAAAATATAATTTCCCCAAAGGTCTATTTCTCCCAGAAGGTTCACGAGAAGAGAATCAAGGTTGAAAAAAAGGTTTACTCACCTATGTTTACTCTCGTCGCGCTGCGTGCGTACGAGCGTATATGTATGTACGTATGTATGCGTGTCCGTCCGTACGTCGCACTAGAATCCGCCACCTTGATAATCCCAATGATGATACACAATCAGTATTACACAGCAAAATTAAGAGGGATCCGCGCGATCGGACGCACTCGGGAAGAGACGATCGATCCACTCGGATTGGAAATAAATACGCGGCTCCTGCGTTCGGCACCTCTTCACTTGGACGAGTGCGTGTTGTTAGAGCGAATCACCACGCGCTGAACGGCGCCCTTCTTGCGACCGCGAGCGCGCGCGAAAAAAAAACGCAACCGACACCGACGAAGGCCCACGTGCGAGTGTCGAGCGGTCGAGTTTGAGTTGTCGCGGCTACTGCGCGGCGCTTCGGTTTGCCAGCTGGCTCGTCTCCGCGAGCTCCGATTGGCTCATCCCCGTCACGTGCGTGCGCAACGATCCCGTATACCTGAGGAGAGAAACGAGCGCTGAAATTCAAAAAGCGGAATCGATCGCTTTGACGGCTGACGACGCTCGACGACGGCTCCTTTCGCGAGATGCTTCTCTGCAACGGGATAACGAATGATCGATTGTCTCGACATCATGTGTACAGGTAGATTCACACGCTAGTCTGTATTATCGCGGTGAATTGTCTCGATTGTTTCACTCCCTTCGAGAGTATTTGTGATTTTTATAGATTTTTCGCGGGCCTCTCTTCTGCAAAAACACTGATAATAATGTGTAGATTGATATTTTTTGAAATTTCTTATATTGATTGATAATATGATTCAAAATTTTTATAGACAACTATGTGATTATATTTATTCTATTTAATAAATACTCAAATAATCATAATTATGAAGTTGATAGACAGCCACGTTAATTGTATAATTAATTGTATAATAATTTATAATTATAATTGTATAATTTATCAGAATTATTAAAATACATAATTATTAAAATACATAAAATTATGTTTATATAATGTTGTGAGGAAAACACACAATATAAAACTAAAAACATTTATTATATTTATCCAAGTATTTAATACATTAAATAAATTTTACTTTTTGCCACAATTCTTTCTTCAAAATACTTAAAATATATTAATAATTTTTCAGAAATTATATGCAAAAATATATTTATCTAGAAAAAAATTTATAAAAATACTTATTAAAAGAATTTTATTATATAAGAATTTTATTATATAATCGGATAAATATAAGTTTCTCCCTCTCTTTTGTCCTGCAAGAATTTCTCTTACGAATGGACAACAAAGCGAAACGATCCCGTAGGACTACGAAGCGAGGCGATGGTCCGCGAAGGAGCATCAGCTGTTCGAATTATTATCGTTGCAGACGATGGCAGATGTTCGCTAACATAAGCCTGAAACGCTCTCCCCCGAAAGCTTTAAACTCGCTGATCTTTTTTTCTTTGAGCCGGTGAAAAACTCACGAGAAAAATACACCTTTCCTACGCCTCGCACGCGGCTTGGACATTAACACTACGCAGGAAACGAATACATATCAGTTTGAATTGTAAAATAAAAAATATCCTGCAATGCACATCGTGCTCATCTTTTCAAATTTGTATCAACAAAAATTTTAACGTTATGAGATACACGATCTTTTATTATTTAATATTTTTATACTTTGAAATAAGGAAATTTAAAATAATTATAAATATAATAATCTCAAAAAATCTATCTGATAATGGCATTGGAAACGTATTAATTTATCTGATAATTCATGGCATTGGAAACGTATTAATTTATCTGATAATTCATGGCATTGAAAACGTATTAATTTATCTTTATTATTTAAATGATCTAAATGATTTGTTATAAATTTTAGGATAATTTTTTTCCGGAAATAATTTATACCCATACATACATATATATATATATATATATATATATATATATATATTTATAGTCCCACGTATTATTTGCTATTATGGAAATAAATTTATTATTTCTGATTAATATCAAATTGATTCCAACTAGATTTCAACACAATCATAATATTTTGACCAATAAAAAGTCCAACAGAGTTTTATTACATTGTCCGCTACCTTAGACAAGATTATCACTGCACTAGTAAAGACTTATAAATTACAATTATGTTCCTATGAAAATTTATATGAGATATAGTCCCTTCGTATTTTTCTTATGCACGTTATGCAAATCACGAGCATAGAAATAGTCGTAAACAATTTTATTACGCAAACTCTCGAGGATAAGCAACCAGGCAGCGATAATTCGTAGCTGCCCAGTTAAGTTTCCTTTGAGGATACACGATGCTCGGGAACGTCGCATTGTTCGAAACCTGCCGTTAGTTATGTGCGACGGAATATAGGATATCATCGTCTGTCCGCATCGTCCATGTTCGAAGGAGACCCCATAGGTTCGTGGCACGCGCTGCCAGCTGCCACACAGCTGTCTCTCCTCTGTCGTCCCCTATACACGAGGCCAGGGTTCTTACCCGACCGTGGTGCATTTACCACACCGAACGAACCGTTTCGCTTCTGTGTGCACGACGCACGTGCGTACGCGCGACTCGACGATATTTTGTTGGTATGAGCGACGTGCGGAGTTTCCCTTTCGTATGTAAGAACGCGAAAAAAAATCTATAAAAATGCTCCGAACCATTACGCTGAATCAGTATTTTAGTCGCATAAAATTTCTATTGTTAATGACTTTGTGAGATTAACGCCTATTATTAATTACTCATGAAGTAACTTTGCTCATGTGCAATTTTCATTGTTATATTTAAATTTAATTATATCGTTGTGAATATAATTATATATTTATTTTCCATATACAACATTTAAATGTAAATTTTTTAATCACCGAAAGTCTCTTTTTAATTTTTCCTATACTATAGAAATGATATTTGAATCTGAAATATATACTGCGAATAAAGAATTATACTTTTATAAGAATTATACTTTTTAAGGATTCAGTAGCGTTGCTCTTTCCCGCGCGAAATACATATGCTGAATTGCATATACGATATTACTGGAAGACAGGACTACGCATGGGGCTTTACATTTGCGGTTTCCCATCCGGCTCGACCGGCGCAGCCTCGCAGGAAATAGTCCTGGAGAGTATCCTAGAGGATATAGGGCTATTGGGTTTCGCGTGGAAAAAAAACGAGGTTGCTGGCGACAGAAAGTAGGAGAAAGGGATATACGAGGAGATGTAAGTGCTCGTACGAAAAATAAAAAAGACCGGGAAGGGGGAAAAGCGAAGTGCACACGCCAAGGGCCGGAAATCCCAGGGCATTCAACTCTGACACCCGGTATATATTTAGATTTAAAGAGACCCGATTTCGTAGATATGTACATAGCGCGATTAATTGACAGTCCGAATTTTTAAAATTACACTGAATCTCATATAATAATATCAGCGTTTATTCCAGAATGTTTGGAAGATATATACATGTAAGTCTAGAGAGAGAATAGTATTCTAATATATTTTTTAACAAGCTGGGATATGCAAACGATTATAAAAAATACAAAAGCAAAAGAGATAGAATATTGAAAAAATATCTGATAATTTTAATCACGCGGATAAAGAATGATATTCTTAATCACAAATTTCTGAAAATAATTACTGTTATTTGTAATTTTTACTGTTTTCACTTGTCACATTATAAAATTTCTAAAATTTTTTAATTCATATTTCATATTAAAAAAGAATTTTCATCATTTCAAAATTAAAAATTACTGTAGTTTGATGATTTTTGCATTTTTATTGTTGCAGGATAACAGATAAAAACATTTTTAAAATCATGTCATCAAAATTCGGAATTATGTCGGATCTTTAATTTGCTATGCACAAAAATACGTTAGATACGAATAAAGCTGTGCTGCAAAGTTCACGGGATGACGCGTTGAAAGGATATCAATTGGCAATCTGTTCAATTATTCGTAAGATAACTGATTAGAAAATTTATTTAGATATATTCCTGAACGGAAAATACATGCGAGTACACGTGTTCTGAAACGGTATTATTTACGACGTGTCTGAGTGAAATGTACATTAAATTAGGCCACGTAGCGTTCGATAGCATCATCATTTTTAAAGAAAACTTCACGCTTCCGCGAAGAAAGTCGATCATTTCCTATTTTTCGTGTTTATTGCACAATCGTACATGACGCACGCAATGCCCCGTGTCTCGCATCGGTTCACCCACATATCTGCTCGTGCACGCACGAAAATCCATGGAATTACCGGCAAATGTATATGTGATATGCCATTATATCATATGCCACTCTCCGTGTATCGTATATACATGCGCCGAGAGTGTAACGATCGAGGGAAATTACTGTAATCACGATGTGTCAGAGTTTCGCGATTGGCTCACCCACCAATAAAGCCACTGTCTTTCACGCGCTTTCCAGGTTGAAGGGACTCTGAATTACATAATCATTGAATTACGTATCATATCTCAACATTTTTTCCCGCATTTTTTCCAAACGCTTTTTACTTGTTTTTAAATATGTATATCGTAGTAATCTGTTTCGCAAATTTCTTTCCAATTACTAGAGTTGATTTTACACGAAACATATATGATATTTTAATATACATGAATGATATTTGCATGACTTTTGTAGAGAGAGAAAACGGTTACTTTATTAGAGAGAAACTGGTAACTTTATGTGTTCTTTTTTATGATTCCTCAATTTGTTGCCGCAAATTGGATGTTAGATGCATGATTTAGATTACGAAAATCTGCCAGCTGAAAAATTACGCGCGAAAGCTGCAAGGTACCGACGTCTTTACAGACACAATACCAGCGGTGGCGGCCTTCTCGAAATAGACGAGAAGCCCAGCCCTCCAAACTCGTCCGAAAATAAAACAGGTTTCTTCCTTGCGAGCGATGACGTCCAATTGGTAGGCTCTGATGGAACAGTCATTTTATAATTTATTTATTATCCGATGTTTATTTCCGATTGCCGCTATCGTCTTCGTGCTATTCACACCGTTCAACGAGTTTCGAATATCATCAGATTATCATTTTTGTTGATCAGGTTGTGCAAAATCAATTTCAAACAACTGTGCAATTCTGCGAGCAATTGTTCAAACAAGTTACATATGTCGCAACTTGTATTATCAAGGGCGTGGACTTCTCATAATGGTCATTTTCGTAATGCCAGTAATACTTTTATACGTTTCGCAAAGTTGTTTTTCACAATATTGTCAGAAAATTTGATCGCATAATTTTATACTGTGTGAGTAATGTAATTTAAAGTTAAATGGATTAATATAATTTTCCAATCTCTTTCAGCAATTATATACATTATTTTTTTAAATGTAGATTTTTTATATGAATGTATATATTCATAGTATAGTATATTTCATGTATAGTATATTTTTGTAAAAATGTATAATTTTTAAAACTTTTTATTAACTTTTAATTTTTTCAAATAATTAAATACATAGTTAGATAATATAATGTTTGCTAGTAATGATCGATGTATAACTATTAGTTTGTAAAGAATTAATGTTCGTATCAAATAATGTTTGTATCAAAAGTCTAAATAAATATTATATAGAAATCATTAAGATAATAATATATTTAATTATATTTAAATGAATGATAAAAGAACGTAGTAAACACGTACAGCTATATAGATAAAACTGATACTATAATATACTTTAATAATTGATAGAATTATATGTTTGCATCAAAAATCTAAATAAACATTATACAGAAATCATTAAGATAATAATTATATTTAAATTGATAAAAAAATGTAGGAAATTAACATATAGCTATATAAATAAAACTATAACAGGCAATATAATGTATTTTAATAATTGACAGTATATATCATTATATAGTGCATTAAAATACTACAAATATTTCGTAACTAATATTTTTTTTCTCATCCGTACAATGATAGACAAAATTAAATTTTATATAAAATATATTAAAAAATTTATAATCTCTTTATTAATATATTTTTTAGTAGAAAATAAAAATATATATTATATATTATATATGTATGTACGTATCAAAAAAATAAAATTGCAGGAATTATATATAAATTAGAAAAAATGCCATCAGTTGTGTTTTATTTTACACAATTCGAATCAAAATTTAATCAACGGATATAAAAAATACGACTTACGTCACAGGTCTAAAACCGTCGTTATAATATGGTGGCTGATATTCCGAATGATACAATCGGTTAATATTTGTGCCGGCATATTCGTTTACGTGATCAGGTGAGAATGGCTCGGGAAAGGGTGGATTAAGATGAGAGTAAACATTATACTTGTCATTTTGATAAAAATTAACTGGTTGTTCATACGGTAAATTGTAATTAATCTGATTATAATCACGATGAGCGTTCAAACCTGTCGTGAGGTCCACGTGGTTTATGTTCTGCGGATATCCACCGTAATAAGATGAATGTTGCGGGTAATAACTGGAATTATTAGGTGACGTTTTGTTTTCCCACGGTATTTCGGTTGTGGTTGGAAAAAAAATGAACCTTGTTGTCATAGTCGTAGTTGTATCTTCTGTCACGGTCTGATTCCCATTAGCGGCATTCATGTCTGCAGCTTGAAAATTCAAGGTTGCTCGCGAATCATCGGCATCCACTTGAAGATCTTCACGCTCTCTGATCGATCCTTTCAAGAAATTGCCTTGTTTTCGCTGGCTCTCTTTGCACCCGCGTATCTGATGAGTTTCATCAATAATACGCATTAAAGTGTAATACTACGATCAATGCAGTAAATGTCTTCTCTTTAAAGAAGTTATTATATATTTTCATAAATATGAATTAATTCCAAAGCTCGATTAAAGTATTTAATTGATCAAAGAGATTTTTTTTAAACAAAACTATATCATATATAAACTTCAAAACAAAAGTAAAGAACGTGAAAAAATATTTTTATTAATAATACCATTGAAGAAATATGACAAAAATAAAAACTATATATATATAGTTCATAATATCATTGTGAATCAAATTATAGACGCATCGATATATAGAAGTTATGGAAAAAATGGTAGACCTTAATGGTAGACCTTAATGAGGAAACCTTAATCATTATGTCATATGAGTATCATTTGTCATGTGAATATCTGTCGTATAATACTATCATTATACGAACATTTAATATTACATTCTGTTTTTTTGTGAAACAGCATTAGTAGATTGCCAATCATCAATTCGATACTTGATGTCAAAGTTGTATTTAACAATTCATTTTACAAGAAACTGGAAAAAACTCTTAAAGCTCTCTTCAAATGATTTTACTTAAGTATCAGGAATGGATAGTTAAATTATATTTATTATTATTAGCAGTATAGCAAAAATATCACATATGCTATTATTATTACCACAAATTGATGTTTCTGTATAATTAATTGCGTTTCATATTAGTAATTGAATGCCGGCACTTTTGACTTTTAAGAAAGTACGATATTCATCGCTGATTGAGATGCGAGATTGAGATAAAATGTTGCGTGGTTTTCTGCTCTAATTTCTATTTGTATATCTCGGCGCAATCTATTAAATTACTTACCTTCTCTTCCGCGTTCCGATCGACTTTGGCTCGCAATTCTGTGCGATCGTCAGCCCCATCCTCGCTGCCCATCTTCTTGTTGTTTTTGGACTTGTCCTCGTCTAGATATTCTTCGTTATCCTCCCTCAGATCGATCGGTTGTCTGTTCCCGAACAGATTTATCAAATCGTTATGCGTCGCTTGAGCTTTCGCCAGATTGAATCCAAAGTGACCGGGAAAGAAGAACGGATAAGGTAACAAGGGATAAGGATTGTAATAGGCGGCAATGTAAGGTGAATCTTTGGAGGAACCTAAGTTCAAGCTGAAGGATGTCGGTGGCAGTTTGGCGAAGGTCTTGGCAGTGGTGGACGCTGCGGCTAATCCTCCGAAGCTGAGGCCAGCTAGAAAGGCTAAACTACCCAGAAGTCGCGACTTCCTCCTATTCGTCTCGTTGTACAGATTCTTTGACTCTTCCATAGGTACTAGTTTGCCCTTAAACAGATCGAGATTCTTCCAGAAGATCCCCTTTTCGATCGGAAGAATATCGTTTTTTTCGACGATCGTATCTTCAGACTTGGCGACAGTTATCGGAGATGCGTCACACTTTGTTTCTGCGAAAAAAAATGTCATTAAAATGGAAAAGATGAATCAGGAAGTTAAATCGATATTGAAATATCGTTTGGAAATTTAAAAAAGCTCAAGTTGCTTACCACTGCAATATATGATGACGGCTATTAAAACAACGATGAGGGAGCCCATCGTTACTGCGTCGTGATCAGAACAAGAATGAGGTGACATCGCGTAAACACACACTCTTCGAAATTAAAAAGCTGCGGGTCCTCCCGCATGTTTAGTCTCGAGAAAGTGTGTTTTGTAGATATCGTTATTAGTACGATAACTCCATTGATTCCTAAGCTTTCTTCCTAAACGTGACAATTACATTTTGCGTCGAAAATGTGGGCTATCGATGCAGAACACGTGAGATTATATTTCTCATTGTACTTTAAAACTCTCTCTCTTTTATGATAAATTTTGTGTCTGGAAATATATGCATATGCTTTGTTAAGAAAAATGAAAAGCTGATACATATGCATATTAGTCGAAAGTTTATATGTTGTATAACTTTACAGTTTTCATTTTTTTCCTATGAACTATGATGATTCTATTTAAATTATTTTATCTTATCTGGAAAATTTTTTAAATTATTTGATTTAAAAATGCATATAAAATTGCGATTGTTATATATTTTATTGCATATCTAATGTCTAAGTATTATTAATATATATATATGTATACTCCTGGACAAAATTAACGCATAATTTTTTTCACTTTTTCTTTAAAAGCTGATATTTAAATTTCAACGAAAAAATTTTAAAGAAAAAATAAAAAAATTATGCGTTAATTGTCCAGGAGTATATTTTTTCTCATGATTGATATATTTAAATCCTTTTACACAATTACTTTCAATATGCTTATATTGTAATAATAATACGATGTAATAATACGATCCACTGATAAAATTAAAATTATTTATTTATTTGATGTATAATAATTATTTATTTGATCTAAAATATATCAATATTTTATATTATAAATCATTTGACTCAAATATGATGCTAATTCTTTCCGTTCAAACCTGACAGACTTGTTTGTTGTAACTGCGCATTCTATATTTCTGAATGTTTTTATTTTTGAGAAAGGATGACGTCACAGGTGACGTAGCACTTGGAGCAGACGTCGCGACGTATTAACTCCGCCATCTTGACTCCGCCATCTTGACTCCAGTACTTCGTAGTTCGCTTCGCAGTTCGCAGCAGTTCGCAGTTCGCGGTGTCTATCTCGTATTCTCGTGGTGTGTTAATTTTGCGGAGTCTTGCGGAATCTTGCGGAATCGGAATCGCTTCCTGACAGAAAATGATTGAAGAAGCGGACACTTCGAGCGCGAAAACAGCTGATTCGGGATTTGCAGCTCCGGAGAAACAAAAAGCCCGGGCATTTTTGCGCGAACGCTTCCTACGCGTTATAACCGGCATTGTCGGTAAGAACATTCATACACTCTTCGCGAATACGCTCTTTATTTTCAAACTTAAAACATTCGAGTCGATTTTCATCATATTTTCCAACACGCCGGAATAATATGCTAAATAATAAGATTTTAATGCAAGACGTATTTCCTTGAAATTGTTTGAACATGGCGCCATCGAGAAAGATCCATCGTGCAATGTATGTGCTCCAGAATAAAAAATTAAAATTATTATTAATCATACAGGAGTTATTTGCTGAGAAAGTACACATAAGAATATTTAATTATATGCAATATTTGATTTAAATTTGAGGTTAATGTGTGATATTCATTGATCCTTTATAGATTGTAATTGCATATTGCAAGTATTATTAAAGCAAACAGATATCAATTGTGTAATTAGCATATTTGACATAAACGATTTTTTAAATTACGGTTTAGCATTTGTCTTGATTTCTGTTCAAATGTTACAGGTAAACAAGCAGAGTTTTATCTACATGAAGACACTCGATTGCAGGGTGAATTCAAAGGCTGCGATATAGAATGTTCTGAGATTTTCGTGAGGAATTTGGAAACGCGAATGGGAACAATACCAGAAGCTATTCTGCGAAATGGTGACATTATCTATTTAGATATAGGCAACATTAATATTGACCAATGAGTAAGGTATGTACAAAGAGCAGATAAACATTGTCGATATCATTATGAGATATGTATGAGAAAATCTTGCATTTTATTATTAAATACGTTTTTATAATCAAAACATTATGTCGCATATTAACATAAATTCAAATTTTTGAAATAATGAATTATGAGCGACGCATATTTAACATTGTATTTATTTCTGAAATAATCCGTCTTAAGTGATCTATTATTTCTTTAATATGCCTATTTTTTAATACCACTTGCTGCAAAAGAAACAGATTTTAATTTTAATTAGGACTTATAACAATGATGTATTATGTATAAAAAATATAAATATTCTCACCTCTATCACTTCTTTGCTCTCTTCACAAATGAGTCTGTAAGCTTCCGAAGTCTTCTTTTCATCAGATTTCATATCCCATTCCTCTTTCAATGGAATTAAACTTTCTATATGTGTATATTCCATGCCTTGCAATTGGCAATTCTCGTTACATTTTTCATATATTATTCTTAAACGTTTAAACATCATTTTTATTATTTTCAACTGTTCAAAAATCTTAATCTTTTTCTCATTTGCCATATTTGCCCCTTGTGCTGTACCTGCAAATAAATAATACATTTATAAAAAAATATTTATTAATATTTAACTATTTATTTAAAAGGATAAAAAAAATTAATATTGCATAAAAATTATCATAAAAATTATACCATTAGGCGGTTGGAGCATTTTAAGAAATTGAAAGAGTTCTGAAGTACGGTTGACAATTTCTTGTACTGTTTCTTGTCCACATCTACATAAGCTGGCAGTATTGACTTCCTTAGTTTGTTGCTGTTGCATCGGTGGTTGAGTAGGTGGGACTGGAGTTTGAGGTGTTGTCGCTTGATTACTAGTTTGATTATTCTGTTGAACCATGGCAGCTTGTTGTTGTTGTTGCAATTGCAATTGTTGCTGCTGCATCTGCTGCATTTGTTGTTGCATCGCAATGGAGTGTTGTTGTTGTTGCTGCTGTGCCAATACTTGTTGAGAATTTGGCATTCCCATGGCATTAGAGCCAACGTTACCAACACCTACTCCAACTCCCACTCCCATACCAAATTGCTGAGAGCTTACCATATCTAAAATAACAATTCGTGATTGATCCTCAAAAATTTCTTCAAAGTTTCTTTTATTTTTAAAATTTTGTACTTTCAAATTCGAAATTTGCCATCACTTGACTCCTCATCCATTGCACTATCAAACTATACACATATTTTAGCAATTTTTAGTTTCCTAGAGAATTTATTATGTTACTTAAAGATATGAATATAATAATAGAAAAATAATATAAAATTATTCCAAAATTATTTCCAATCCAAAAATATTCCAATATTGTTGAATTTGACAATCTTATGGTTCTCGCAAACAATTGTTTATTCAATGTAACGGCTAATATTTAAATGAAGAATATAATTTGTTATATTGAATATATCTAGGACTATTGAATTTTTTGTATAAAAAACATTGCGAAACATTATTGTCGTACATGAGACAAGGTTAAGTTTTATTTTCATCTTTCATTTCGCTATGTGTCAATACATATAGGTAAAACGAATGATAAACAATGAAAATAAATACAGAGATTATATTTAGGAAGCTTCAACACTTACTTCCTTGCTGTGGACCTATTAAACCAGAGACCATTTGTCCACCGCCAAACTGAGTGCGCATAGCTGATTGCTGTACATTGGGAAACCCAGATAGAAAAGGATGTTGTTGTCCAGCCATGTCGATTACTTTACAATAATAATATAGTCGATCAATTAATTAATTGTCCCCACTGAAACAATCTGTCACACTATAAGTTAATTTTGAGGTTATATCACCCTTTATACTTATAACACAATTTTTATTTGTATCTGATATTTTTATTGCCAAGAAAAATCATCATTTTGCAATTTTGAGCAGATAAACAATATTTTGCAATAAAAAAGACAGCTTTCTTATTATTTAAATAATTATCAATGACGTAACTTTCTCACATCATTAAAATCATACCTTAATTTTATTATTATAAGCGATGGCACATTTATTTACGCGAATAAGATACATAAAAATCTATATATTTAATATACGTGTGGATTATCGATCCATAAAAGAGACATGTTTTCTCGCGTGTCACGCGAAGCTGTTGAATGATGTGTTCTGCGCATTTGCACTGCGCAAGTCAATGAAGCCAGAATGCCCACGCTAGCAGCACGCAACCATGAATGGAGGGGGAAACGGACATATGAATCACTCATATGATCGCTACCCTCTCCATTCACAACTGCGTGCTGCTAGCGTGGGAATTCTGACGTCGGCGCAAGTAATGTAATTATTCCTGTCATTGAACTTTTTATAATTTTTTTTTTATTATGATAAGCACAATATATTGGAAACTTACAAAATGTTATAAATATATGTCTCGATAAGATATATAATACACATATTTATAAATGATTACGTCGATATTTCATCAACATGATATATCTTATCTAGTATCGATAATGTTACATTTATCAGCAAATATAAATTAAAGAAAGAGAGAGAGAGAGAGGGAGAGAGAAAATCTGCTCTTTATATATAGTTTAATTTCTGTTTTATATATCTTTTACATATCAAATATATATATTAAATATTAATTTATAAAATGTGAGTTTTTTTATATTTAATAACTTTTCAAATTTCATGTTATTCGTGGAATATTTTTCATTTGATTATTCTTGTATTAAAGATATATATCGTGAATTTTTTATTATTATATCTCACAATATAATCAGATGGGATTATTATCATATTTATATTCAAAGAAGGAGAGAGAGAAAGAGTACAAAAATAAAATTATATCTAATAACTTTTCAAATTTCATGTTATTCGTAGAATATTTTTCATTTGATTATTCTTGTATTAAAGATATATATCGTGAATTTTTTATTATTATATCTCACAATATAATCAGATGAGATTATTATCATATTTATATTCAAAGAAAGAGAGAGAGAGAGAGAGAAAGAGTACAAAAATAAAATTAAAATAAAATTAAAATATAATTTTGCAAATTAGTGCATAAAGATATAATCTCATCTGAGATATAATAACAACAAAATCCGCGATATATATCTTTAATATAAGAATAATCAAATAAAAAATATTCCACGAATAATAACATTAAATTTGAAAAGTTAAATATGAAAACTCATCACATTTTATAAATTAAAATTTAATATATATATATTTGATATATAAAAGATATATAAAACAGAAATTAGAGCATAAACATATTTAATTTTCTCTATATATGTATGTAGAGAAAATATGTATATATAAGTAATATAAAAAATATTAATATTTGTTTATTAAATTATTTTTTTAACAACTTTTTTGATTTTTGGTTTTAATTTTTATAAGATTAAAGTAATTTTTATTTAATTTTCTCTTTCTAATGGCTGGATAGGTATTCATATAATTAAAAAATATACTTGAATTTAATATTCATGATATTTGACTTTGATATATAGAATATTTAATAAAAACCAATTTTATAAAAAATCCCAATTCTTTGGGTATACGTTTCCTGTTGTTTGGTGGGGAATTATAAGATCAAATTTCGTGGGTACGGGAATAAAACGTTCACGAAGAGGAGATAAGGTCAGTGCACAGGGAACTAAGGCACAGTCCAATGTGTCATTCCCCAACATCCCAAGTCTCCACACGCCTTCATGCGAGCTTTACTTTTTTCATAAGAGTCAGTGTCTCCTGCGAGTCGCAAACGAGTGCTTGACTGCGTATCGGTTTCTAACAAAAATTAATTTTACACGAGTATCGTGCTCACAAAAATCCCATTGACTTTGTAGAACAATGTCGATACGCTGGTTAATAATTTTCTTTGTATTGGCGATTTTTATTCTAATGGACAGCAATGGATTACCGGCAAATTGTACGAAAAACGGGCAGATGGCAGAGGGTGATAGCGCAGACAACATTAATTATTCAAACGAGAGACCTAATTTGTTATCTGAAGCCAGTAATTCAAAAGTATCAACAGAAACCCGAAAAATTCCAACTTGTTTGAATCAAGAAAGGATAGAACATCGAGGTAATAAAAATGAAGAAATATCCAAATCTAAGAAGAATGATCAATATTTAATCAATGCTTTGTCGAAGATCGCTAAAGTTCGATCTTATCAGGAAGATCCTGTTGTCACTAGACAACATTCAATGGCAAATGTTTACAATGACGCGAAAAATATATCTACGTATTTGCAAAGCAGAGTTTCTGTAAAAAATATTGGAGGACCGACATCTTTTGATACGAAATCATCTTCGAAATTAATTTCCGAGAACACTTTCAACAACACGCTCAACGGTGAACTCCAACGAGGAAACTTTCACTGTCATGCCATACGAGATATTTACATTCCGGAGGTAAAGGAAAAGATTCCTTCGTATGCGTGCACATTTGAAGATGGGCACAATACGTTTATTCTCTCGAGTAAGAGATTTTTTCAAGATCGTAGGAACAATTTGCACATTAACATCGACAACGATATGCTTCGTAAATTAAATCACTCTACCATAACTCCCACAAGTAGCCAGTTCAACATTATTCCGGCTGTTTTAGTTTTAAAACCCTGGCACGAAAACTATTATATACGTAATCCACAAAACTATCACGATTAAATATAGATAATAAGAACATTGGACGAATGATTGTAATCGCTTATTTTACATCACTGTAATTATAATAGATAATAGAATTAATTAAATAATCACTAATTAATCAAATAATGATGTAGATTAAGATACATAAAATATTTAAAGATATATAAAATATTTAAGACATAAAATATTAAAAATAAGATTGTAACATAAATACACACAATCGTTACTATGATAAGAATAAATTTTGCTCCATTAAATTTATTTTATGTCTTTTCGCGACGATATTTATATTAGTTTCTTATAATGTTATATTTGATATTATTTACATATACTTATGCGTATAATTTGATTATATATTTTGTATATAACTTCGATGCAAGAAATTATACATATGTGAATTTTTATTCCGTATTGCAAATAATTACAATAACGATTTTATTAGAAACATTTTTAAAATAATTTTACACATATGACGATTGTATAATTAATATAATTTACAATGCGCAAAAGCTCGGAAGCGATTAAAGCCATCAAGAAGATTACTATGTCCATTATACAATTAAGATATTTTTTATGATAGCATAAAAACAAGTCATCTCGTCATAAATAATCATAGAAATAATCATAAACTAAAATCATAGAAATGCTTTTTTTTCAAGTATGACTCCTATTCGTAACTTGCTTTATTGTAGCTTGCGATATATAAGATGTTTATAATAAATCATACTTTGACTATAAATTCCACTGAAATATAAATTTAATAATACTAAAAATTGCAACAAGTTTCTCCTTATAAACTTCTTGCTGAAAGAAGTTTGAACTGTTCAAAGAATTCAGAAAAAGATCTGATATACTTTATTATTGTAACAAATAAATTATAAACTTGTTGCAATTTCATCGGTTGATTCTATAGGATCTTTCGTTTTATTTTCATTGATTTCGCTTTCGTCTGGCAAATCGATAGGTGAAACTTTATCTACATTCGACAAAATTGTGGCTGGACGTTGCTCCTTAATAGGTGGTTCTTTCTTACCAACTCTAGATGCAGCAATATTATGATCGTCCAAAGATTTTGAAAGCTCTGTGACTTGAGGAAGTTTTGGCAGATCTGCCTCCTTAATAAACAATTTCTCTTTTTCAGCTTTCGATGTTATATCTTCATTAATGTCGCTTTCATCTGGCAAATCGATAGGCGAAACTTTATCTACATTCGACAAGACTGTAGCTGGACGTTGCTCCTTAATAGGCGGTTCTTTTTTATCAATTTCAGATACAGCATTGTCATGATTATCCGAAGGTTTTGGAAGATCTGTATCTTCAACTGTAATTATCCCTAGATCTGTCAAAGATTCATTGAGCGGATCTTGTACTTTTATCGGTGCGACGAAATTATCTGCCCTATGTGGATTGTTTGTCTTATCAGATAATAAATCGGAATATTTAGGATTTGGAATGTAGAATTCATTCGGTCTGGTTTCTTCTTTTTCAACTTCGATCGCTAATTTTTCCAACTCTTCCTTTTCCTCATCAGAGAGTGGGCTGACCTAAAAAAATATTTGATTTTATTTATTTCATATAAAAATAATAATGTAATTTTTTATAGCATATTGTCTATATATGTTTTTATACATTAATTATTACTTTAAATTTAAAAAAATAAGATATAAAATAAGATACAATGTGTAGTCTAGAATGTTGTTAATATTGAATGCAAAAGAAATTATTTTTTTCATACAGTAAAATATAAAATATTACATTTTTTATCTTATGAATTTGATTAAATGGGAATAATTTAAACTTTATAAAATGATAATAAATAATAGCATATATATCTTTTAAATTAATTTTATATTTTATAATTTATGTAAAATTTTGAGAGAGAGAGAGAGAGAGAGAGAGAAAATAGTGATTAAATGAAGCAGGTTCTCTCTATTCAAGAGTTCATATTTTATAATATAACATTGAAAATGAAGTTGGAACTGTTCGTTTATTTACACATCATAAACTGGCTTGTGAAGTTTAATCATTTATAGATAAAATCTTCTAATATGTCTCTGGGTATTGATGAAGCGACAAACGATGTTAGGTGATTCACAGAGATTATTCTTTTAGATTATATACGGATGTCAAATGAGATAGATGTGCAGAAATAAAAAATGCAATATATTCAAATTAGCTATCCTTTTCTTGAAATTATGCGTAGATGCTGTTTGTCGCGGATACAATTTACATGAAGTAATCTTTATTTTTAATGATAAAAACGAGGTAATGAATGTTCATTGAATCATCAATAAGATTACGTGCACATTGTAATAAATATTATTAGCATATGTTATCAAAGCTTTTCGAAAATAATAAAAATTATTTACTTATCTCTTCTCCTAAAATTTCTTTTTCAAAATTTTCTTCAAAATCAACTTATGTGAAAACATTTTCGTTCAATTATAATAATTGTTGAATATTTTCATAAACATACTTTAAAAGCGGGCGGTTTCAAACTCTTCATTCTGGTTCTGCCTCGATAACGTCTACGAGGTCTGCTCTCATTATCATCATGTAATTCATAGATAGTTAGAAGCTTTGGTTTGTTAGGGTTCCCCGATTCATCGTTGGCAGTGGCAAATGAACGACTTTCCGCTTCTCTAACATGCAATGGATAAGGATGTTTCTTATCTGATTCTTCCAGAAACTCATTTAGATCTTCATCTTTAAAACTGTCAGACTCGTGAGCGAATGTGTGGTCTATCTTTTGCAAACTCTATATCGTATTAAAAATCGTTAAAATTAATCCTTGTAAATTCTTTCTTAATTTACATGGTATTTATATTCTAAATAAATGAATACGTTTCTTCTATTGCTATGAGTACTACTATAATAATAACTATCCGTATTTTTGTCTTATTTAAACGCATAATTGTCAGATTTTTAATACCTTAACGGAATTTGACGTCTCTCCGAAAGCCTCGGCCAAATCTGCATTTATTTCCTCCAACGGTTCATCTCCATATCTTATATAAACAGGAACGTAACCTGGTATATTGGGTAAATATTGAAGAGGACTCGAATCTAGAAGAAATCGAATATTGTTAGCTGAGAATAAACCATGAGAAAAACGGCGTGATACGCTTGATACGGATGATCGCACTAGAAATACGCACTTGGCTAGGCGAGTTTATTGGCTATGATAGCAATGCGGATATTTAATCGTATGCATAAAGATTAACTAGACCAAGCATCCAATTAGGTCCCATTTGCGTAGATCGCAAGTGATAAGTGCTAATTTGACGGAATCGCTTTTTTATTGCCTTTTAAGAAATTTATTCCTGTTATTTTTACTGTTTTAAAAGCAAAGAGAATAAATAATACGTATAATGTTTTTTAATAATTCTTAATCTGCGCATTCTCTTTCTTTATATCATTGTATTATAATATGAAATAACTTGAGTTTGATCCATAAAAACGAATTCTTTTTTATATTTTTTCAAAAATTTATTTTTACATAATTTCTCTCTCTCTCTCTCTCTTTCTCTTTCTCTAGCATGATTACAAATTCTAATAACTATAAAAATTGAGGAATTTTAATCAAGAATTAATTTTAAAATTTTTTTTATTAATTTTAAGTGGAATTTATTTTAATCGAAAGTGAATTTGAATTTAGTTATCGAAATTCTTTTAAAATTAAAAATTAATGTTAGAAGAAAAAAAATAATGTTAAATTAAATTTTCACTGAGTTTTTCTCAAAGTCTATTTCTTCAAAAAATTTATAATTGAAAAAGTGGGGAACTTCAATTATAAATTTTTTGAAGAAATAGACTGAGGGAAACTCAGTGAAAATTTAATTTAACATTATTTTCCTTTCTTTTAACATTAATGTTTAATTTTAAGAGAATTTCGATGATTAAACAAATTCATTTCGATTAAAATTCCACTTAAAATTAATAAAAAATAAAATTTTCTTGTTTGAAGTTTAATTCTTGATTAAAGTTCTTCAATTTTTGTATAATCACAGATGCTTTGACTTTTTAAAATTTTCCTTAGTTCGATTTTATATCTATGAATGAAGAAATTTATGTGACTTATAGACGTTTTGTGTTTAATTTATTATGCCTTTGAAATTTATACTATTTGCAATGTCTTTTAGTGGCGAAAATCTTTAAGGCAGCGCACTCCGAATAATCCCGAATTACAATCACTGCACATCACTGATCCTCTATATTATCGTGTCACACATCGATGCTCCGGGCGGGAATTTTGAATGTCGTTCTTTTTTTTTTACTCACAGGCATAGCCAATGAGAGGTACCAGGAATACCAGAAGGGAGATGGCCCTGGTACCACGCAGCGTCCCACCAACCTGCATCTTTGAACGGTACTGGGCCCCCAGAACATGGGGCTCTCTCCTTTATATGTACGGTCCCCTACCCTCTGGCTGGTACTGCGGAGAGGCCCCTCGGGGTTAGCAGCGGATTCAGGAACGCTGTTCCGTTAATATCGGGACAAAAAATCGAACTCTTCTTTACTTTCGGCAATCGAGCCGAACGAGAGCAACTTGTCACGATTCCTGCCTTTTATAGTGATGATAGGTCTCGCACGATCGATCATCGTGTTTTACATACGCCGTATAAAGTTATCTCAAACATTATATGCGCGAGCGCATCTTTCTATCTTCTTTTTTTAGGGTAGATGTTGCATTCCTGCAATATTTTGAAACTTTAAATATAGGTCTGTTAATAAAGTGACTTTGAAGTCTGGCAGCGTAAACGAATTTTTCGTGCATCATAATTTTCTGCATAGATATAATGATACAAATTGTGGAACGTAATCGCTTACATACTGCTTTGGTGCGTAACTTGTAAATAATTTAATATCTTGCATTGTTTCTTCCTATTTAGCATTGCGCGATCAATTTAAGAACGCATCTAAAAGATTGAAGGTCATGATCGATGAATATATAATAAGGGGTCCCATGAATCATGGATAGTTATCTACCGATGAACTCATCGGGACAAGCATTTTTTGCGTGCCTTCCATCACATGCTTATATATTCTGTATGTTTAATTAATGTTTAATTAATGTGTGTAATATACATAATTTGATAATTTACTTGAGAATTTCACCGTCTATCGTCTTATTTAACCATCTCTTCTAATAAATAGAAAGAATGTTTGCAAACCCCCGTTAGTGACAACGAACTTTTGATTCGTCAAATACGATGGCACACGCCAGACAGGTGACAGGCTTCCTTTCCTTTCCGCAATGATGAAGCAAGCAAGATTTTGTCGATAACCGTCTTGCAGTAATGAAGCATTCTCTGAAGCACGACAACGCAACAACGACGAACGATAAACGACGTTAACTGAGATTGGCATAAAAACGTCGCGTATTCTCACTCACCTCGGCAGGAGATTCAGGTTGTTAAAGTTCACTTTTTTTTTAACGAGCGAGCTACCGTTAACCATATCGCTTTTTCCCTCCCGTCAAACTTCATCTTTCGAAGTGTCTGTTGTATCCGTCATTATGGCTGGTGCCGTTCAGCCGATTGGTTTCATAATGCGACGATAATGTCTGTACGTTTTCCTTTTACGAGACACCCCGGATGATGAAATGCATTTACATTTCTGTATTTTTTTATTACTGAAATATTTTCTCCCTCTTTGTCCCCCATAAGGTGAAAGATTACGCTGACAAAGGTTCATTTGTCTGTTTGTATTGTATGTGCATACGCATCGGTTACCTATCTTGTCTTACAAGGTAATTTAATTAAGCAGCGTGGCGCAAGTGAGCTGTCAGATAAGCAGGTGCGCGAATCGCGCAATATATATTTTGATGTAAAATGCGTAACTTGATTAGGTACTTCCTATGATGAAAAAAATGTTAATACCTCGTTTAATAGATGACTAGGCTAGGTAAAGCATGGTAATTTCTGATTTTATAGCCGTAGATCCGAGATTTGTTCGTGCTTGCCGGCGAGATTGAAGAAGAATGTAATTATTTCTGTATAAATGCGTTATCATGAAGAACATAATTCAGATAAATACCGTAGAGATACGCGTGGAAATTAATATGAAATACGATCCGCTATTTATATATATATATATATATATATATATATATATATATATATATTATTAGTTAAGAATCAGCTGCATATTTTTTCACATTGTAATCTCTCTTGGAAATATTGAACGGCGTGATTACTTATTGCTAAGCAAAAATATTTCATCATTGGATCAATGAGTAAAATAACTTAATTTAATAACAGATAATTTCACACGTCAAAAGAAATGCTCTATCTCTGAAGACTTTTTCGTAGAAGCTTGCAACAGACATATTACTATTATTAGTTTAAGTAATGTTCCTCGTATTTGAGAAAATAGCAATAATAAAGCAATTTGTTAGAATTATTATCGCAAGCTGAAATGGAATGTCTTTCTTTTTATTTCTTCTTTCTTCTTAATATCATTTCATCGCGACGCGCATAAGCCTTGAGAGTATTGACGTATCCTGGAGGAAAGGTCAGGATCACTATTCGACCCTCAGACTCGCGTGCTCACTGCAGGAAAGCGTTTCTTCGTACAGATGATGACAGGTGTGAGAATCGGCGCTATCATCTTCGCTTGCTCGCGTGATAGCATTCGAGGGAGACTTAAAATTACGTCACTTTCCATTTTACGCCATTTCTACTAATCTACCTTGATAAACTGCAAAACGAGTCGTTTCTTCAGTAATGAATACTTTAACCACTTTTTCGAAATAAGTAGCAATCGAGCTTATCGATATAGATTGATTCACAAACAGGAATTTCTAGTTCATTAAAACAATTTTTTTATGTAGTATTTAAGATATTTTTTATTATGATTGTTTATCAATTTAATATTATGATTGAATAATAGGGAGAAAATAAACATAAATAACAATAAAATGTTGACTCTCATATGTTATAATAGATTATTATATAATTATATAATTATATATTATATAATTATATAATTATATATTATATAATTATATATTTTATAATTATTGAATAATCTATTATAATATATGAGAGTCTAATATTTTATGATAATCAAAATTTTCAAGACAAGATGTAGTATAATAAGAGAGAAAAAATTGAAACTATGTCATTTTCTATGTCATGTTCTATGTAATAGTTTAATAGCTTAATCATAATATACCATAATTGATCGTCACCCCTTTTCCGCTTGATCGAGTCAAGGTAGGGTAACACATATAGTCATGTAGATGTATATATGTATATTCTCAGATATACAAATGTGATCTCGTATATTAAATTTATTCGTTGATTAAATGTATTCTCTGATTTATTGGTTCACGCTGTGATTCACAATATATTTTGGAATTTTAATATGAAATTACATTTTTAATGAGACAAAGTTTGAAATATCATTACACGAGAAAAAATTCGAGAACAAAAAGATTAATATCATACATTGCAACATACAATATTTTTACATTATGGCATAATTGTGAATAATGATTGATGACATTTTTTTGTGTTATATAAAGTATGGAACAAAACGTATTGAATATACATTTTTATATAATATTATGAATAAAGTTATTGTGCTCGTGTTATAGACGGAGAAAATATTTTACAGTATAATTTATAAAGAAAAACACAATCTCTTTTACAATATTTATAATCAAGTTGGAATATATATTGAATTAGAATATTTATTACGATATAAAAAGCACGCATTTATTGTATTTTAACGATTTTGCACCTATTTGTGCATCAAAATATTTGAATAATTGCAATATATTTTTTTGTAAAAAATATAATATATACAATAATATTTAATATTTAATATTTTTATTTTTTTGTAAAAAATAATTATATTATCAAATATTATATTTACAAAATGTATATATTAAATGTATATATTTGTATATATTAATATACAATAATATTTAATATTTAATATTTAATAAAGGAACATCGTGATTTTTCTTATGTTTTAATTATAAAAATTAAATTATAACTTTTACTATATAAGATTTTCTCCGTATATAAACGAATACACAGGATACATCGAGTATGTGTATATAAATACATCATAAAAAATTTAACAATAAAGAAATATATATAATTTTTAGCATCACAAACATAGATGATTTGTTTCGAAATTATTGATGTTCAGAATTAAAATGGAATTGCATTCGCAGGATTTATTTCAACGTGGCGTGATATCATCGAAGCGAGTGCGAATGATTGTTAGACACCATTCGCGTCCGCGTTCATCAATTCTCATGCAGCTCATGTGTGTTGCATCGAATGTGGCGCGACTAGATCAATTGCAATTCTGCCAAGCAGGATGGCTCTATTGTAACATAGACCGAATGGGATTATCAACGAAGGTCACCAATCCTATATCTGGCTAGATCTGCTGATCTGACATTTTCCACTCGACGCTTCTTGACACGCTTTTGTCAATTTTTCTTTTGTTTCCTTAACATCGTAAAATATCGTTTTTCATGACACGTCCACCTCCTGCGACAATGACCTCGATCCTTCTCGTAACGTTCATAAAGTAGCACGCGGTCGGGTACACAGTTATTGCATGCAGATCGGTTAGCACGGAATTCCCGTTTAGAGTCGTCGGTTATCGCTTGTACGTATGCAAATGTTACGCTGCAGTGGAAATGTTTTTCCACTGCAAGCGTCAAGCGACGCGAACGAGCGAAAAGGAGAAAGCTCGTCGACATCGTCGCTCGTACATTGCACCGCGGTACCAACGGGCTTTTCTATGCAGATTCCAGTCGTACGCGACGCAACCGGTTCCTTTTACGATCCCCCAAGACTCCCGGGGGATTAAATTAAAGCCTGGTCGTGTGCTCTCTAATCGCCGGCAATCTTGAGTCACACGGCATCGAGTCGTAGAAAACGCGTCGTGATATTTCATCCCGTCCAATTGCCATCGTTATTACGATTATTGCCGATGGTGAACGGACTCTAACAGGTGATTTCGTTTTAAGAGACTAGGCCTGCTCTCTTAATGAAGCACGTCGCTTGACGTATTCCGTATTTTATGTGGACATGCATCGTCCTTTACTAAAATAGAACCGTGTTCAATACTGCGCCATTAATTTTCCCAACTACTGTTTATTATAAATTTAGATAGTATAACTATTATTACAAGAAGTTCCAATATTTGATCTCAGTAAATAAATGAGATTATAAGATTAAATTAGAAAACATTGATTTTATTAACGCAAATATCTCAATATTATCTCTTTCATTATCTGTTTTCAAAATAAATACAATAAATAATTGTGTATAAAATAAAGATACCTAATATGTTTAGATTGCCCAGTTCAAATATTAATTAAATATATATTTTATACGTATATATGAAAATAATATAGTAAAAAATGGAATTAACGTATTAGATAATTAAATATTTATTTGATATATACTATATATATATGGACTCAATTTTAAAATACTTTTCATAATTTATAAAATATCTACATTTTTCTAGGAAAAATATATTTTGCAATTTTATTTCACGTTAATAAATAAAAGATATCTTGCCATTTAATATTTTTTTATTTCATATTCATATGTATGATAATAAAATGAGTTTAAAATTAGCTCGAATCAATACCGATAAAACGATGGATCGAATATGACTCAATGGACGAGCGTAAAAGTTAATGGAAATTATATACCATATTTTTTATTTCACATTTCGAATAAAATTAGATTTATTTTCCTATCTGCATGATTTATTTTCCTATCTGCACGAATGTAACTAGGATGCAATCCACTCACTTGTCCGACATAATTTACAGTAACATCATTTAACCGATAGCGTTAATATATTCTATCGTTCCAAAAATAAAAGATCAAAATATTAGATTAGATTACTTACCATCACAGACAGTGATTAATGTTTTAAATGGCCGAACATATTTGTTTTGCACCGCTGCTTCATTGAAAGCAATAAAAACTAAATAAATCTTGTCAGCAAATTTCTCACTTACTATATCTTCATGAAATATTTGTGTGCAAAGCAAAGTCTTTTACTTAATTGCGATCTAATTATCGATAATATAATTTCGCAATTATTTTATTAATATATCTTTATATTATAAGAGATAGATCAATTATCTTGATCTTATCTATTTATGATCTTTTCATTTTCTATCATTTAATAGCTTGTTACTCGATCTGTCCGATTAATTAGCCGTCCACGGCAAATATTTTATAGTACAAATTATATAAAAAATATATACGCTTTTACAACATTTATTATAAAGCTGTATATAACGACATTAGAGTATTTAAAAATGGTAAATTATTCCTTTGTTTTATTGTTTGTACCTCAAAATATTTGAATAATTACGATACTTTTATTAATATGTTAATATAATAATAATATTTATCGAATAAAATTATCATAATTTTTCCTTTATATGTTATAGTACTTTATATGTTACCTTTATATGTTATATACTTTCCATAATTATAAAAATATTTTAATTTTAAAAATATTTTAATATTTTATATTTATATTTTAATATTTTAATTTATTTATATTTTTACTATATATTTTTTCCGTTCGAATCCAGTTTTTGCCGGAACGACTTGCTTATCAATCTCGATCAATTAACAAGCATATTGAGTTATAATTAGAAACTGTTATTAACCTGTCATGATTATTCTTATTGATAAATTTAACGATGCTGTTTTAACCGATAATTTGAGCTAAGATAAATTATCGATTGAATCTACATCCTCATTTCTCATAGTCATTATATAGATCAATAAATTCTCATCAGTATTATTATCTGATCAATAAATTTATACAATATATTATTTTTGATAAATATTTATTTATTAGTTTCCAGTAAATTTCATATATGTTATATATAATATTATCGTTAATGTGCAGTAAAAGCATGTACGAAAAGACTTATGGTGCACTAATATTTTTGTCTTATTCTCGTTATTATATAAATGGGACAAGACATTTAGAATCAATAATACAATTGCATGTCGCCCTTCGTATTATCTAAATGTAATATCCCTAATATCTTAGCAGTATCTCATAATATGCACATTAAAAGTGGCATGCGAATTTCTAACACTTCTAGAGTGCTCATCGAGGAATCGAGGCATACTTTAATCGTCTGAGTTTTTATGATCTGCCGCTGGTATGCCCAGTTTTTCCCAGCAATAAAGCGACTCGTAGTCGCGACAAAGTCCACGAGTTCGCCGGTCATTGACCAGAAAATACGCGCGAATGTGCCAACATTTTATATTAGAGGAAGAAACCGAGCATCTTGCCTCTACGATTGGACTCGATGAGCATTCGATGACCCGCAGACCCACATTTTCTTCAGACCGATATGATGCATATCAGCATCTTTTTTAGAGTCCACTTTACGATTCAGCTGTTAGATGGAGTTTTATTGTTTTAATAGAAGCTGCGATTGTATAAAAAGTTTATACATAATAGATTTAGTCAAACGGATGTATTTAAAATTGTATGCATTTGACATATAAAATGATAAAAATAGTGCATTTTCAATATTGCAAATAACATGGACATTTTACTAGAAATGTTTTTTTTTCTTACTAGATCTCTTATCTTTTATTGCTTGTTTTTTTACTTTCTTCCGAATCAAACTTTTCCCGCGGCAAATCTTGACCTTAATTTTAATAATAATCCTTTCTAATGTAGAATCTTGAAGAATAAAAGAGATGGGTAATCATAGGTGAGATATAGATAAAGAAAATTCTAAAGAACATAAGACGCAATCCGTAATTGTTGTTGCTACGGCCGTGAAATCGACAGGAAAAAATGACAAGTTGCTGACGCGCGTAACAAATCAGCGAACAAATCACTTTAATCATGAAAAGCGAATTGTCCTCGAATATACCTCTCGGAATGCGATATTCTTACTTTTAGCGGTTAATCATAAGGCCGATAAAATCGTCGATTCGGACTCGCAGCATCGGCTCGTTCGACGAATCCGCTGCCGGATCAAAAACCGGCTTCGCGTTTCTCAACAATCCATTTCGCGCCGGTACTTCCTCCTTTATCCAGCTTTGGAAGGTGATGAGAGGAACATCGAAACTTTACCGTTACAAGTTCACCCGACGTTTTCGCGCCGTAATTACTATTGCCACTCGCTGTTGCAGACAGTCGAGACGGCGCATCGCTGAGATGATTCCGCGCGAATGCTGCGATATTGCTCTCGTATACCGGTCGTATTTATAGAGAGGCGAGTTATATACGAGGTTGTGGCGCCTAGATCCGGTGCTGATAGAAACGCGCGTGAGTTACTTATGATGCCGATCTCGCGAAACGAGAAAAGAGCGGAAAATAGACAAGCAAGATCGCAACACCATCATCGCCGATGCCGCTGTCGCTAGCGATGGTGTTCTAGTGAATTACAACGGACTGATAATGCGGAACAGGTTCCACGTGATAAAGTGGAATGAATTGGAGCACGTTATGGCTCGCGAAGTTGGAAGATGATACTTTATCGCTCGCGTTGGCGAATTTTCTATCTCTTTCTCACGCGTTTTACGAGTCTTTTATTCTACATATTTGATTCTGATTGAAAAGATTATCATTTGGATTCATTTGAAACTGAATCGTGACAATGTTTAAATATTGTATAGCATAAATGAGAGATTAGTAATTATTGAAATAATGTTTCTCGAGATTCTTCTGTCGGAAAACTTTCCGACTTTGCTGATTTAGGAATTAATAAAAAATAATAGTATACATGTACGCGCGAATGATAGATTATTATCTTGTTTGTAAGTGCAAGTTCTATCAAGCATAAGAATTAATGAATTATTAAAGTCACGAGAAAAATATAAATTTAATGCATTAACACGTGAAGATTCTTTCGAAGATTCATGAAAAATTAATCATGAGTCTCATAATTATCTTTAGGAATACGTTTATATTCGAATAACGGCAAATCATATGTTTTACATTAAAGATGAATTTGTTTTTTATTTATTCACAACTAACATGCGCCAATACAATGTATATCATATAAACGAATGTGTTACAAATATTTTGAGAGTATTATCAAGTAATGTTTATTTAGATATAGTGATGCGAAATATTTGAAAAAATTTTCTATCGAATATCTCGAAGATGAAGGCAGCATAAATCATTAATGGCAACACATTTGTGTTATGTATACTCTGTTCATTTTCCCCTGAAAAAAAAAATGTTTTAACTGGTGTAAATATAAGCTATATTGATAATATAATATATTGATAATAAGAAACAATTATTTTAGATATAATACTCACCAGCCTCCAGAAGAAGAAGAGGCCGAAGCTTGGGCAGAAGATTGGGAGTACGAACCTCCGCCTCCGCCTCCGCCACTAAAAATACAAAAAATTTTATAAAAATTGATAAAAGAATCAAGAAAAAGAGAATGGATGTAAAGTACAGTGATTTTTAAATATACATCTTGTCAAGATTATTTTAATGGGATTAATTTACTTTGTTGTCGAATAATTGCATGGTTTTTTTACACAATCTATTTAGGAAACAATATCATATTAATATATCAATACCCGCAAGTACTACAGCCGCCTCCTCCTCCGCTTGGAGGATAATATCCACCGCCGCCGCCGCCTTTATATGGACGTCCTCCTCCTCCTCCTCCTGTAATAGGAACTAATACAACCGGTACTACCCTTACTGGTTGTGGTTGGTACCCTAAACAAAGCATGCCCTTGTTATGCGCGATGGGGTTTAGTAACAGCAATGTGTTAATATATCTACAGTTATGATGATCTTTCTCAAATGTTATATTTTTATTAATGTTATACCCAATTTGCAAATTTTAGCGGAAATGAATTAAGCAGCAATTTTATTAATAATTATTATTAATTAGTTATTAATTAATTATTATTAATTTATTATTAGTTATTAATTAATTATTATTAATTATGAATATTTATTATTAATTAGTATTTTATTAGTATCTTTCTTATATGTAAGCAGTTTATTTAATATTGTTTTTTGTTAATCAAGAAGAGATAATAATTGTTCAAGCAATTTCCGTTATTTTTAATAATTCCATCAAACATCTTGAATTTTTCTACTTGCGTTATATCATTACCTTTAAATGAGTTTCTTCACGATACAATACGCAAACATGTGCGATTTATATAACGTAGATAACGCATGCAAAAATTGAAGAAATTAAATAGCTGTTGAATTTGAAAAATTGAAGAAATCAACTAGCTGTTAAATTTGAAAAATTTAAAAAGAAATCAGCGTGACGTATATTTCAATTCCTAAGAAATGCAAAGCGAATAATCGGATTTCGTTTTAACCGCATCTATATAATATGTGGCAACGTTTTTTAAATGAAACTCAAAAAAAATTTTATTTGTTATATTTTTCTGATTTTGAGTAATTATTTTATAAATTTTAAATTAAGAGATTCTATTGAAATAAACTTTAGAGCAAAAATATAATTATCTATTTTTTCTCTGGAGCTTGGTATTTTACATTAATTAAAAAATTTGTGAAGTTCGTAGCGTGAATTTTGAGAGAGATATTCTTTGATATAAATAAATTCTATTAATGTTTATAGATATATTTGTCAATTAATTATTATTCACAATTAGGATTATAACTTACCTCCACCACCTCCACCGCAAGTAGGACAACTAGGATACCCACCTCCGCAAGTGGGACAACCCCCGCCATATCCTCCCCCGCCATATCCTCCCCCGCCATATCCTCCGCCTCCGCACTTCTTACAGATAGTTCTCTTCTGTCGATCTTTTTTCTCATAAATCGGCTTCGAAGCCGATTCTATCATCTTCTCCGCCTCTGCCTTTTGCAATTTCATTTTCAGCACTTTCGATTTATTCATACCGATCTTGTCAACTTTGATACCTTGACTTTCTAATTCTGCCGCATATTCATCGAGATCGGCGGGTGAGTGTTTTTCTTTTTCTTCATCATCATCTTCTATTACTAAGAGAATAGTGGCCAATGGCTCTGCAAAAGTACGTTTTTTATTCAAGATCTTACTAAGAATTATTTTAAGACATTTATTATCGTTATAATGTTCTTTTTGTTACTTATTCTTCTTAATTTATTTATTTGATCATGTATTAAAATATGTAATATGTGACGTCAAATTGTATTTATATCATTAAGAGAAATCGTAATTTTATGTATACTGTTCACACTTACCTAATATCTCAGGAACAGTTTCGATGATTTCATTTTCAAGTATTTCTTCTGATGTATTACCGCTGTTATTTTTTACAGCGTACATGTTAATTACGTAAACTATAGCATGGCGTTCCTTTTCCTCGATCGGCGGCGGTTGTAACTCGGTCGACAATGTGTGTTCTTCATATGTATTCACTGCTGCGTCTAAGAATCACGTTAAAAATGAATCGATCATTATGCGAACAGAAATAGGCAGATTACGTCGATCGACACGAAGCATAAAGAATTTTAAATTAATTGCATTTGGATTTGTTTTCCATCTCATGTATCCTGACATCACTGTTATTTTCGAAGACTTCTTGTCTGCTGCATGCAAAATAAATTACAGAGTTCGCGCAGCTATCTCCTAGATTCTTCAAAGCGGTATTTAAGATTGCAACGCGTAAATAGACAGCTACTTAAGCAATATAAATTTTAAAAATATTTATTTTTATATTTTAAACAATAGTAAGATTTAATAAATTATTGTCGAGATGTATCATTTTTCTTTTTAAGCGATCTGCAAAAAATTATGAAATGCAAAGTAATAATTTTACAAATTTATGAATTGACTCCTGATACATTAATGTATCCAATAAATTTACAAATTAATTTTTGCAGTTGTATGCTTTATTGTTTATTTCTTTAAAAAATCGTAAATTATTTATTTAAATTGCAGTTGAAATTTAGTATTTAATAATAAAAGTGCATTTGTGGCATATGTCTAAATAATTAATTATAAACAAAAATATGGCATATGTCTAAATAATTAATTATAAACAAAAATAATTTTGTGTGTAACAATGCAATCAAACTATGATGTACTGTTAAGTTTGCCTAAAAGTTAAAAAAATATTAAAAAACGGCTATTTGCAATATTTTTAACAAAATATAATATAATATATTATGAAAATAATTATATCAAATATGACTACTGCAATGTTATGTATGTTTCACTTTTATGGAATAATCAATTTTCTTACCTTTTGGTTCGATAGTCGGCAACCCTGAAAGGGTCGCGACAAGTGAAAAAAGGAGCACTACTCCAAGTGCACGAATCACCATCGTGAGGGGCGTTCGGTGAATGCACTGCATGCCAATCTTTTCATCTTGCCGCTTTTATAGTCATCGATACGATACGCGTTTGATCTTGATGTAATTATGTAACGTGAGCCACCTCCATCGCTTTTTACCGCACATCTCACGTCGCGCCGCGCGGAATAGCGTTGATTTTTTAAATTTTCCGAGGGAATTCCCGCCATATATATGTAGTGCATACACGATCGATTTGAAATACTTCTCTTTGAGACTAATATGCGCGTCAATACGCATGAGAACAAAATTAAAGTGACTATTGAATAAGATCAAAAGCAAGAAAAAATTGTGCTTTATAACTCACTATGTATACAGTGTGTGTATAATTTTTATATTTAAATTTATCTTGTGATTTTTCAGAAGTGTTATAATAATATTAAGGGAACTTATTAAAATTCAATTTCTTTCTAATATATCATCTTTAGAGAGAAAATTGAAATAAACAAAACTTATTTTAGATCAGTAAGCGTTTTAAACACTGCTCTCCAAAATAAATGAAATATCTCCTAAATAAAAATTTTTAAAATACATAAGACGTAAATACGTGCAAAGTTTAAAGGTATAAAAAATAAAGTTGCGATAGTTTTTGAAAAATTTTTTGAATTAGTATAGTGTATATTTTATAAATATAAATTAGGTTTATATTACAATATTATTTAGTATTAATTTGTCCTTAATATAAATTTAAAAAATGAATAGGTTTTTAAAAATACACCAAAAAATAATATATGTGTGTTTTACTATTATATGTACATAAAATTTTTTATAAAATTATGAATATATTTTTTAAAGAGAAATTACTGAAACATATAATTGGAATAAGAATATGTATAAAACGTATTCTTTTTCTCATAACTCTTTTTATATATTATACATTTCTTTATTTTAGAAATAATATAAATATTAATGAGAGAATGAAATAATTGGTATTAATAATAATATTATTAAATCATAAATATTGATACTCTCGAGCACGTGCGCGACAAAAAAAAATATAAAAAAATTAATAATCACACGTTATCAATCACTCTTTATTGCATCTGAGGTGTTGTTAGACTATGAGGAAGTGACGGAAATATTATTAAAAAATAAAAGAGAGAGAGAGAGAGCGAGAGAGAAGATTTAATCTTCATTAAAGAACTACTAAAATCTTTTAATAAATGACTACCAAGAATATCATATAAACGGTGATATACCGGTTTCCGAATAGCGTTATTATGCATAATGAAGTATACAGGCATGTTGTTCATCAATTCATCGTTAATCTGAATAACTACTTTTATTATCTACATTTTTTCGGTCTTTCATGTTATTTTTAGCGTATATATTCTAATACGATATGTATAATTATTCAATAATTATTGCGTTATATACTTTAACTAATAGTAGAATAAATCCTGGTATCGAGGTATATTGCCGGAATTAAACACTTTTCATACATTAAACATGCTGGCTCAAGATTTCCTAGCTTGAGCGTATGTATATATTAATTAACGTTGGGAAATCTTAGTATTCTTTCTCGTCATGCTTAATGAATCCGTGATTCACATACAAAATATATCAAAAATACTAAAAAACGCAATTCTTTGTCTATTTATAACATTATTTTAAAATTAATTTTTTTCTCCTTTTTTTCTCACTGTGAATTTCCTTTATTTAAAAAATTATTAACTTATTAATTTCGAAACAACTTTATTTTTATTAATTTTTATTAATTCTAATATTTTTTTCTAAAAAAATATAACTTGTACTTTTTTTTTAATTTGAAATCACTCTAATTGCGTCGAGGCTATTAATTTTTATTATGATTAGCGTTGCAGTTTGAAGTAATTATCAAGTTACATATGCAAATCCAGTTAATATTTTTTACTTGTTTCTCAAAGCCGTAATAACATTTGTGTGTGTTGCATCCGTCGATCATATTACCAAGCTCATGTGTAAATTTTCGCATATCTTATCACATCAATCATATACATATCATTTTGCTTTTTAAAAACAGAAAACGAGTTTCCAAGTATTTTAAGCGAATATATGATGCAATAACTACATTTGTTAATGTTAACTACATTTTTATTCAAGATACAATTTACAACAACAAATTACGCTAATATATATTTTTATATATGATAATCAATGATGATATTCAATAATCATATTTAACAATTTACACACACACATATGCTTCTCTCTCTCTCTCTCTCTCTCTCTCTCTCTCTCTCTCTCTCTCTCTCTCTCTCTCTCCCCTTTCTTTTTTTTTCTTTCCCTTCTACACATATATACACATAAAATAATAGCTTTGTAAAATATTATTCATGTTTACGTGTCATTCTTATCGGTAATTTCGTCATATGTGCGCTATAATATATCAATTAAATATTCTACTTAATATTTTTTACTTACGTCATCAATAACACGTTGTGCGCGTTTGCGGGCGGAAATGAATAGATTTACTAAGAAAATATTATGCAGATTTGATTTTTCTAGAATGGTCCATAATTACTTACAGCTGTAGTTAGTGAAAATATCTAACTGTATAATTGGTATAATTGGGTTTGTATAATTGGTTTACTTGAATTGTGCATAAATAAAACCGTGAACAAGTGGTCGAGATATGTTGTCACATATCATCTTCCTGGTGACTGCGAAAGAATACATTTAGCCTTGATTGAAGGTATATCAAATTCAGAATTTATAATCACTTTCTGATGATGGAGAGCCGTAATGAAAATCCCTTTAAAGAAAATTATTGATTCGACGAAAATGATCCTTCTTCAATCAATTAGCACATCATATATAAATTTTCGTAATAATCTAGTATAATGCGAAATATTCTACTTTATGAATATGTATTTCCTTATATTTTAAGTATCTCCTAAAATAATAAAAATTAACTAAATTTAGTATAATTGATGCATGTGTTCCACATATTTAATATAGATTAATAAAACATATTATAATTTATTTATGAATACAATTTATATGAAAATAATTTTATTTTGAATTTTCGTCGTAGTTACTTTTTTAGCATTAATTGTATATAAATCTACATAATTGCTATGGTGTTTAATGCGCGGAAATTTTTCAAAACAAATTTACTCCGAATGAAAAAATAATATTACGCATTCCTCTTTGTAGATTGTTCTCACGATTCAAATTGGTAGCGAAGATTATCGGTATGCTAATTTAAATGAGCATGTACAAAAAAATTATAAAAGCAAGATAATTATTAAGATAGTAGATAGTACTTGTAATTATTATTGAATATCATATATGTGGGTAGAAACCATTGCAAGAAACATTTTTTACAACATGAATGTCTAACTTTACTTTATGTAAAATAGATTAATATATTTAAATGAAATTACATATTCAATATTTATTTTTACTCTTTTATTTTTATTTTTACAAAATAATTATACGCTCGTATTAATAACGCAATTTTACTTTTTAATTTTAAAGTTCTATTGTGTCAATAGTATTGACTGTTAAAAGTTTTTTTATATTTTAAAGATCATGATATACTATACATATATATATATATATATATATATATATATATATATAATTTTATCGTTATAACATTAATTTTAGACGTTTTAATTTGACCATTCTCCTTTTTGTTCAACTCAAATATTAGCGTTCAGAGAACATATCAAATATGTAAAAGTTAGACGATGTTGTGTATGCTTGCTCGTAAGCATACAATTATCTTATAGCTTAGAAAATTAACTGCACGCTCTCTAAGATACCCAGGGAATTTTTTTGCGTTATTATCAACAACTTAGTCATTCCGGTATTGCTAACTTTGTATTAATTTAAAAAAAAAAGAAACAAGACAAGCAGTACTGATTATCGGTTATTACATTAATTTTTAAATCTTATTACAAGTGTCTGCCTCTATATCATAACATTATTAGTTAACGCGAATATCATGAAATAAAAATCTATTGATATGTGATAGCCTCAACCTTGTGCCTCTTAAATAAACGTCCGTTCGTTCTACGTTAATTGCAGCGTACGAATAATCAAATCTCGCGGATAATCCCCGACCGGTTCCACGATAATTATTCTCGCTGTAGGTTTTTGTGAGTCAAACTGAGATGAGTCAGTGCCGAGACCTTGAATCTTGTATAATGTATCTCAGAGATACATCTCATAGATTCGCCGTTGATTCGATTAGGTTCCTCATCGATAACTCTGATCTCGTATTTCTTATAATTTTTTTAGATAATAATATTTTTTAAGAGAGACATCGAAACGTTCCGTTTTATAGATAAACATTTGAATATCTTTTATTCGTTTTCGATTTTTCAAAAAGCTCAAATTTTTCCATTTATATATCTAATCAAAAGATGTAAAGATGAGCGCAACATCCTTCTAAGAAGTTAAATTCATGGAAAGATAGTTGCTATTTAAATTCATACATGTGATTAACTGCTGTCATCATTTGATTTAATGATGTACAAATAAAAGAAATATGCTATCACGTTCATTATTGTAATTTCATAAAAAATTAACTTAATCTCAAGATTCTTCTGCGCGAAGAATAATTTAATTAAATGAGATATATTTATCATTATTGAAAAGCTGATACATTAAATAATTTTTTATATAAATATTTAATTCTTAAATGAAACTATACTTGAATTTCAGACAAACCTTTGTCGATTATAGATCTTTTTGCATTATTAATGATATGTTATTGTCACTTTACATATTCTTGGAACAAGTTACATTTTATTTTTTTGTTAAACAATATTAGATTTTCATTAATAATGTACTGTGTACCTGTGATATCAATGAGCTTAACTCATATACCATCTGTTGATATTATTGCTAAGAATTATTAACACCGTGGATACGACAGATTCTTCAGTTACTCTATAAGATATTCAAATCATCAGCTCTTTCAAAGATGTCGCGGAAAGTTCAAAATTACATCTCGAATCCTTCAGAATCCTCCATATTATTGACCTCCACCTACATTCAAATTGGAGTCAATTCAGATATCAAACATGATAAACATATAAATAAATATTTATATGTTTATCATGACAATCACTACATACTAATTAGTATTACTAATTAGTAATTCCACGAAAATCAAGTTTAAAGATCCGTCAAGCTCATTTCTTTCAATAAATAAATTATTTATTATTATATATTTAATAAATAGTGACTTCAACGCATGTTATAATGGAACAGGCATTTTATAAAACTTAAAATATGTAATGAATATAAGAGCTTTATTATTTATATCATGACTGCAAGATATGTAGAATCTTTAATATTTCACTTTTATATTTTTCTTTTATCTAGTTTTTAAAGAGAGAGAGAGAGAGAGAGAGAGAGAGAGAGAGAGAGAGAGAGAGAGAGAGAGAAGTTCATATCTCATTACAATTTATCTTCTCGCGAATCATTTTCCAAGAAACGCGATAAAGCACGCAGAATTTTAAAGTGATAGGAGAAATAATAAATTACATCACGAACCGGGGGTAATTGCTAACGTAACTCAATTGGTGCTGTCATCTGTAGCCACTTTTACATTCTACCGGATACGTTTTTGCTACTAAAATATAACTATTAATAATAATAAAACTTGAAGATGGTCAAAATAAATTTATTTAAGATGTTTATAAAAAAATGAGTATAAATATTGAAACGTACAATTATTGAAACTTTAAAAAAATATCAGTTATTGAAGAATATCGATATCATCACAAGTTTTATAATTCATTATTGATAAAAGATATTACGGAGAAGAGAAATGTATAAAATGCATATTTAATCGATTGCTTTATTGAGATCGACTATACAATAAATACAAAAATATCTATCATAATATAAAATTCAAACTGATATAAAATAAATAAATATTTCTTTTCCCTTCCATTATACAACATCGAGCAATTCGCCAACAGCCTGCGCGAGATTAGATAATATATCATTGCCAGGTTGTCTTTGCACAGAATCTTTGCTTCCGACGTATTGCAATGGTATAATCTGACTTTGTATACTCCCACCTTTAGGGAAGAATTCTTCTGACGACGCAATTGCTTGAGCATTGACCCGCGTGACGGAATTCCCACCTTAGCGTCCCGAGGTCGATGTACCCTTGGAATTGTCTTCACCGAAAGAACCACTAGAAACAAGATTGGAAGTCGCACTTTCCCAACTTTGAGTGTCCCCGGAGGTATATTCCTGACCGATTGACGAGGACATAAAATTCGTAAGACCTACGTTGGCCTAAGAGACCGGATCATCGGTCGAAAAACCGTAAGAGAAAGCGTTTGAACTTACTTGACGACTCGTCGATCCATGAGTTTGATCAGTCCAAGAGTCGCGCGGTTTATGTTCGATTGATAAACCTGGCCGGGAAAATATTCCATGATCAGGTCGCCACATGTGGATATGAATCGTCGGCTTTTCTTCTCGTCTGAACGTGCCAAATGCATCGATATTCAATGTCGGTCGTGTTCCATCATGTGGTTTCCAGATGGTCAACGTGGGTCGATCTGAAATAATGAATTTTAAATCTCGAATGTGAGAAAATATTGAACTTTAATCTTCAAATATTTCAACAGTTAAAATCAAACGTTAAGATTTATATAATAATATTCAGAAAGCATTTTATAAATAACAATTATTTGGCTTTAACAGAGCATATTCTCCCGAATTTTTTATGTATAAATAATTTATATGATAAGAATTGAAGACAATAAAAGAGAAAAAAAATGTAATCGACTCCACTTGCCATTACGTCCATCGTTTGGACCAACATTGTTCCATGACGGCCGATATGGATATTGCATATTGACGGCAGCTTGTGGGAAGAATTGTCCTTGATTGCCACCAGTTGCAGCAGAAGATTGTGAGGCACCAACGGAAGATGTAGCACCGGTAATCGCATGTCCATTTTCGACTATTCCGAAAGAAGTTGCAGTTGCTTGACCGAAACTGTATGAATGGCTTTCGGTTTTGCCACTGTCGCTGTAGGCTTTCGCGCCTGCCGTAGAAATTCCTGATAATCCTGCGGCAACAGTCTCAGATTTACTTACGGAAACAGCAGATCTAAAAAATAACAATTGTCTTTTATATATTTTCTTATTATTTATATTTTTTTTTATAGAGAAAATAAGTTAATTCAAGATATTATTTGCAATCGAGAAATAAAAAAATAATTATACGTCTCACACACGTATAAAATTAAATAATAAATATTACTAAAAAATTTTAATTGGAGATATATTCAGCAACTATTTTAAGTAAATTATTTACCCATCAATTCCGTATTTTGTGGGATGGTTGTAACTGTTGCTTTCCGAGAAGCTAATACCGTCAAGGCTTGCGCCCAGACTGACAGAATGCGCATTGTTATCTCCCGCGTTCAAACTGACAGTTGCCGTGACAGGGATGAAGGAGAGGAAACGCTCCTGAAGTTCTTCATCACTTGACATTTTGACGACTAACCCCGGTGTTAGTTCCGGTGGCGTGTTTCGTCGTCGCTCATGTTCGTCTGTTCAATGAAAATGTTTTTTCAAGTATCTAAAAACTAGGAAGCAAAAGGAAAAACTTCGTCTATTTTTCGTCTATTTTATCAAATTGTTTCCATAATTGTATATTTGTATAATTTACTTATGAAGAGAAATTTAAAAACAGCATTCTTAATCTCCAAAATGTAACACTTTTATTTGCGAGTTTCACGAATATAATAAATGCACGTTTTCCTGTGATTTAATTTGATAATAATAATTATCTCTCTCTTGCTCAATCTCTCTTTTTCTCTTTAAAATAATACGAAATCTTGATTATGCTAATTTAAATTAAATGGGAAAACGATATTATATAACAGAATGTAAAAGTTGCATTGCCATATACTTGGATAGATATATCGTTAAATAGTTTTAATAGACGAATTACATTTGTTCATGTAATCGTTTCATATAAAATTGCAATCAGATAAACATTGTTGATTACTCATTTTTCATGATGAATCATTATCTTGTTAATTACAGTTTCTACTATTCTATTGTTTTGCAGCTTTGTTATTTTTCCTAGAACCATATGCGGATGAGCGATGTTTTGTGTTAACACGCTCACACAAAAATTGCATTTGTTATAGATTAATTATAAGTTTTGTATATAATTTAGCTAGAAAATTATATAGCGCGTTAGAGATAATTTACTTTTTTTACACAGACTTTGCTTCTTTTCACACTTTTCGGAAAAAATAGTACAAAGATGCTTTATAATTATATAATAACAATTATTTTGAATAAATTCGAAACATATTTTATACTTATATACTGCTAATTCTTCACATAATGTTAGTTTATTCAAGTTAAATTATATTAATCTGTCGAATATTAAATCTTTAAGATATTAAAGTGTCACAAGATACTTATAAAAAGTAGCTAAATATCAATAAATATTTTTCTTTATTTTTAGAATGTGAGAATTTTATAACGATTTATATATTTGTCAGAGATTATAAAATTCATCAATATTGTAACGAGGACATACTATCGACTATAACACATGTATAACAGATTTGAAAAGAATATTTTCAGCTAATATGGCACTCGCAATAACACACTCGCATATAAATTCATTCCTCGATGTCGTCGATACCGACGTGCGCGCGACGCTTATATTTCTTTAAGTTTCCGAGATATTTTCCTCACCTGCTCGTCCAAACGATAGCACGAGTGTTAGCAGGAGGATGCTACCGACGTTCTTCGCCATCTCTGAAAACGTTCTGACTGGATCGTGGCAGCGCTCTGCCCTTTTTTAATAACTATGCATGGCCTTAGAATGAATATTACAATGCAGGACGCGTTTATCTACGTGATACTCCTTAGGTGAATTGTTGCGCAATGACGCGAATCATAAGAGAGAAATGTGATTTTCAATGATAAACAGATATCAAGGATCTATAAATAAAACTTTGGATTATTTAATATATATCTCGTTAAGTTGGAGTATATTATAATAATTTCGAAGATATTTAATCAACTTTTACAAGCAAATTTTGTTAATCCTTCGTAATAATTCTTATCATAGTAGATTTTACGGAGTTCTGAAATGTTTGTAATAAAATTGATTAAATTTATAAGGATAAATGATGTATAACGATTATTTAATAAGCAATATGTAACTTATATATTTCAATTTAATATTTATAAAATCATGTAATGTATAAATGTGTATAAAATCATGTAAAATCTATAAGAACTCTTAACCTAAGAAAATATCTTTATTTTCAATTAAAAATATTATTTTGTTTATCTTGTATGTATTCGCAATAAAATAATATATATTCCCCCCATAATATATTTATAATCATACATAAAAGAAACGAATAGAATCCTAGGAGCAACTTATTTTTGAAGAAACAAAGATACAAGAATTATTTGAAATTTAAAGAAGATAAAATGCTTATATTTAAAAATTTAAATGCTTTGATATAAAAACGTATAATATTATTGATTTCTTAACTTTTTACTATCATTTCAATATTTTTTTTAATTTTGTAGATTTATTTATGATTGTAAATTTGACGTTCCAATGTCTCCTTATATTTCTCAAGTAGTGTTCAATAGTCTTACCAATTGTCCGAATGTAATTGAATCTTCTGGGTTGTCTGGATTAATTATTATTTTCTTATCAAGGGCAATCGGTGCCTCAAACGTTTCATTGTTATTTGTTATTGATATAAACATATTTTCAGCTTCTTGTTCAAATTGTTCAGGCTTTTCTTCATTTTTAATGGTTGTCAATTCAAGTTTTTCAAAGATTGTCGATTCAATTGGGATTATTACATTTTCTGGTGTTTTGTTGGTTGGTGCGATTTCAGGTGTATGTAATGGATCTTTTTCATCAACAAGTTTATCCTTTTTATCGTCATGTTTAATTGGCACAGGCTTTTGAGTATTCGTCGATTCATCCGGCGTAGGAATGATGGTTGTTTGAGTCACAGTTTCTTGTGTGTTGTTATTCGAAACGATACTCTCTGATGGAGACGGATACTCCTTTTTATTTTCCGGGCTGTTTGCTGAAAAAAAATGTTTAATTATTACATATTTGTTCTTAGTAAATAAATATATGTTTTATATACAATATTAGAATATAATATATTGCATCTCAAGAATTTACCTGCGATCTCTTTTAATTGATTGATAACGAATCTGAATTTAATTTTTAACACTTCCAAATTCTCCTCGATATTAACTATATCACTATCGAACAACCTGTTCAAACGTGACAATATCATATATACTTCCGGGGATTCTAATGTCCATGGGGTTCCCATTATATCTAATTTCACACTTGATGGTATCGGATCTGTTTGTTCTCCTTTTTCCTCATTTACTGTGATAAAATAAAACGTTTAATTATTACATATATGTTCTTAACAAATAAATATATGTTTTATATATTAGAATATTATATATGCATCTCAAGAATTTACCTTCGGCCTGTAAAAGTTTGTTAATGTCTTTGTAGGATTTTTCTAAGTTTTCCAACGTTGTTCTGATAAAATGAAAAAGATCATTGAACGAATCGGTTAAATATGCCGATCTTGTTGAACGGGACTGAATCATATCTTTGATTGGTTCACCCCAGAATGACCCGTGATGCACGAACATATGACCTGTTTGTTGTTCTTTTGTTGCTGATAAATAAAATGTTTAATAATCACATATTTCTTAGTAAATTTATGTTTTATATATTAGAATATAATATATTGCGTCTCAAGAATTTACCTCTGATCTCTTTTAAATGATCAATAACGAGTTCGTAGTTAGTTTTTAACGATCCCAAATTGTTCTTGACATAATCTATATCATCATCAAATTTCTTGGTCCACTGGTCCGATACCGATTCCGCTAGCAATGGGTTCGAAAGAAAATCGAAATAAAATATATATTTTCTTAATTCTGTGGTTAATGATATCTGATCTATTTGTTGTCTTTTTTCCCCAATTGCTGTGATAAATAAAATGTTTAATTATTATATATTTGTTCTTAGTAAATAAATATATATTTTATATGTTAGAATATTATATATGCATCTCAAGAATTTACCTTCGGCATTATGTGAAAATTCGTTAAAGAATTGATACTGTCTTTCTAAAACGTCCAACTTTTCTTTGATCCTAGCAAGATTATCATCGAACGAATTGCTTAAATATTGCGCCATTCCTGGCGATCTTGCTGAACGGGGCAGAAATATATCTTCGAATGGTGACTTGTGATACCCGAATATATCAACTGTTTGTTTTTTTTTCATAGCTTCTGGTAAATAAAATGTTTAATTATCACATATTTGTTTATAATAAATAAATATATGTTTTATACATTAGAATATTATGTGTCTCAGGAATTTACCTTCGTAGGCCGCCCTTATAATTTCCTCGCTAAGATGGCAGTATTCGCAGATACTTTCCGGAGTTTTCTTATTCTTGTCAGCAGGAGTATGCTCAATAGGATGATTTTCAGATATCATTTTCGAAGGATAACCTATATAATAATATATAATAATATATATATATATATATATATATATATAATAATATATATATGCATTAAGTTATTCGAAAATTTCAATATTTCTATTAAATATTTATTGAATGAAAATGTTTAAAAAATGTATAGTCCATAAAAAATTTCTAATCGAAATAAAGCAACTTCTAAAATGTCACATACAGTTATTAATTTCATATCACTGTTATTACAATTAATATTTAATGCATTATATAATTAATATTTATTATATTATTAATACTTAATATATTATTAAATCAATAAATGATTTACGTAATATAGGAACAGATAAATAAGTTAAATATTGCAACTCAGTTTACATATGGAATACGTATATAAATCAGTAATCAGTTAGAATTGAAATACATTTCCAGAACTCTGTTGATCTTTTTAATTACTTTGAAGAAACTATTGCATTCTTTGCAATAAATTATACATTTTTATAATCCTTGTTTCGAATAATTATTATAATTTGAGTTTTATCGAATAATTCAAAGTTTAACTTTGAAATTGAACAGAATTCTTTAAATACTGAGAACCGCTAAAATAATCGAGTAATCCGAGAATTTACTTTGAGAGACACGTATGTACTGAAGAGATTGATAGAAGAAACATGCCGAAAGAAATATGCCGAGACATAAATATCAGGAGAAAGAACATTCCAAGAGTCTCTCGAATATTGTAGATAAGGAATTGTAACGACTAATCTGGAATATTCTTATATATTCCAGAACAACAGCGTGATTCGAGCAGTTCGCGAATCTTTGAACTGTTAAAGAGAAGTTGTTAATTGTGTATTAATGTTATTAATTTACATAATAAATATATCTCTATTTACATTGAAAAATTGTAAATACTTTATCAATTGTCGTTATGTAAAGATTTTTTTCTTTATTTCTTATATTTTCATTTTTTTATTCCACGAGGATTAATTTGTTGAGTTCTATAAATTTATACCTTATCACACAAATACAATAGGCATTATTCATATTTTTTAAAACGAAGAAGAAAATTGAAAAGTAATTAAGAAAAACAATCTCGTATTCCCGCTTGTAACAAACATTTCTCGAGGAATATTAGTCAGCAATACATTTATTATTCTAATCAATAAACATGGTCATATAAATCATATGGAACTAATTACATATACAATATACGCAATTTATCATTTATCTATCGACTATTCATCTATGGTTTATAAAAAATGCATAAAAATGCAAAATGCGTTTGACGTTTTGCGTTTTACTTTTGCTGTCTTTTACGTGAGTCGCAATATTCATTCATCATATACATTCAATATATACATTATTTGGCACAATAATATTCTTACTATTCTATAAACTCAAACATATTTTGCTCGTATATCAATTAACAGCTGCGAAAATTTCTTGATTATTACCAAAAATTGCACAAATAATTAAACTTGCAATTGTTTTAATTCATTAAAATTCATCACATATCAAAATTTGTTATACATTATTGAATTTTTATTATTATAATATATAAGATTAGCATAGACTTATAAAACTAATAAAACAAAAATAACTTATGGAATATGATAGCTCTCTTACCTGCCACCTCTCCATATTGTATAATAACGATTATTGCCAACAATAGAATCCACTTCATGATTTTTGAAAATTTCTTGAGTCGCAAGATAGAATCTGGAAACTAGGACCTGACAACCCGACCCTTACTGAACCTTCCTGAGATGCGTTCAACTTATATAAGGCACGGAGCAATAGGTCTTGCGTTAAAAAACTTATCGCCAACCATTAAGTCTACATATCATAGTCCACTCTTCGTTACTTTAAGCCTTACTACTGTTCGTTAATGCATTCCAGTTTTTTGTAAAAAAAGGAAAAAGAGCAAAGTGTCACCTACTAATGATTCAAAAGAAAAAAAACAAGCTATTTTTGAAATTTCCGGAGATATTTGAAAGATTTTTGAAAACAAAGGTAGAAAAAAATGTGCGATAATTTCTATTTTTCCTGCTGCAGATAGGTGCGCCTCGTGTGAATTATGTGTATAATACTGAGAAGCAATACACAATCAATCTGTTACGAAATATTTCGCGTAACAAAGCTCGCACTTTTCGTGGTGAACTCTCGCTGTTGCCAGCGGCGGATATCCGGCAAAGGAAATCGTGATGCACTTTAATTATTCGAGCTAATCTTTTAATGTTTTACACACGCAAACGGTTAAATATACTAAGTTCAATAATCTTTGGAAGAAGATTGTCACGCCGTCCAATCATCAATAATGAATGAGTCATAAAATTTAAATGGTTATACGAAATATATGCTGAGTCAAATGATTAAATAAAGTCAAACATATTTTGTCTCGACATTGAATCTGACGCGCAGACATAAAGCAAAATATAATATTTGCGGATATATTCGCATTTTTCACCTTATACATTTATTATGGTTATACGATATTAATAAATTAAAAAGCACAATATATATAATTGGAATATTTCTTATTAATAATTATATATTTTAATATTTATTTTATTATATTTTTTAATATTTACATCTCTAGAAATCAGTATATAATCTTCTCTTTTATAATTTCTCTTTAATTTGCATTTAATTAATGCTATTTGTTTTGTATATAAACAAACAAAAATTTATTAATACTCTAAATACTATATCATATATGTTATAAATAATTATGATTTTGAACATAGAGATCAAAGTCATCCACAAAATGCATGCATATTCGACCAGTGATCAAGCTTGCTGAATCTTAAAGACGAAGCGCGGCATTTTACTTTCGAGAATACAATGGAGCGGTTAGGAAGAAACGACCATCGCATTATTGCGCAGAAGGTAATCAAGTTTGTCGATGGGTATTTCCCGAAGCCCCGCGTCAGTCGATCATTTAAAAAGAAAAATATTCGCCCATAAGTATAATCGATGCTATGTGAACGATTTTCAGACATTTCGATTACAATTAAAATTTATATCGGAAGTCGTAATTAGTCAAATCATGTTCGACGATCTTTTAAGAGAGATCGACATTTGCATCTGTTTTGAAGTAGAATGTTACCAACCGGTCGCGAAATTGTTGAGTAACGAAAATTACTTGTAATAAAAATATATTATATTACTCTTTTATATTATTTTCATTCTCGGAGAGGAAATCGAAAGAAAATTATGTATAATCGCCGCGTGTGTCTTCATGAAAACCGAAAATAAATCCATTGCTTACAAATTCGTCTGGTAATATACGTCTCGCTACAACTGTATAAACAAAAATACAAATTTTTGTATCTGCAACGTGAACAACACGTCGGCTCATTGAGCGACATTAACGTCGATTCCCTTAATATTTCTGTTGCACCATTTTTCACTTGAACAGAATATTTTTTATCATTTATTGAGAAAACATACGAGCCTGAGTCACGTCGCGCCATGACTAAACGAATAATAACACAAAAGACGGCTCATCGCGTTAAAACATTTTATTCGCTATAATTCGTTTAAATGACGCGGTTACATTGTAGAAATTCTGTGAATATAGCTAAGAAGGTATTAATTTGATAAAGCTGCTACCCAATAATCAATCGTTAGTAAAATTAGCCTGATCGATTGATTGGAAAATACGCGTTTAAGCTCCGAGCCCGCGGCTTTAAAGGGACCATAGAATGTCGGAATAATCGCGATTATCCTGGATCGATCAACAGTCTAACAGGATGTGGAAACCGGTCGTGATTATTTCCCGCGCGCGACAGATCATTATTATTCATAAACAATTACGCGCATGGTTGTCTAATTAATGATAATACTAGGCGAATATCGACCATTGAAAATGATATTCGATCAAGATAAATATATATTCGATATTAGGTTTAAAGAAAAAATTAAAGTTACTTGTAACCACGTTACACAAAATGCGATAGATTGCGGAAGAGAAATATCATTTGCATATTAAAATACATCACATATCTTATAAAAAGCAATATTATCTTTTATTATCTAGATCTGTATACTAAGCATTTCTATTATATTTCTTCTCTCACAATCAATTACAGATATTAACAGATAAATTGAAGAAAACATATTAATTATATTTCAATGTCGTAATGTTAATGGAATTTGAGATATGATTGATTTCATTATTACGTGACGAATTACTTATTATTTATTATTCATTAAGTCGTCAAAACGGATTTCACACATATTAAAAAAGTATTAAAAAAATAAGTTAAAAATGATAAATATATTCTTTTTATTAAATATATAATCCATAAAATATCTCTATAAAATATCTATATAACCTATAATAAAACTCTTTATTAAATGATCCATAATGTATATTTTATACATAATAGTCTACATAATGATAAGACAAATGTATATCTGCAACTGAATGTTGCAGAGAGATTATTTATTATGTTCATTTGTTGTAATTCTAAACATCAACGAAAACGATAAATAGATTTTTATAAATGTAAGCGGTTGTCAGAGCTCGTGTGAATAAAACTAATTATTATTCTGGTTTTCCCCTCGTACGAAAAAATTTGTGATGATCTTGTCCTATCATTTCGATTACTAAATAAATCCTACGATTGCATATGATCAATAATTAAGAGAAAAATCTTTCCGCGTTCGTTTACTTGCGTCGCTATATTATCTCGCAGGGTTATCATTTCGTGGCGCAAGTTAGATGAAACTAATATGTAGTGTAGATTTTCCAAATAAAAATAATGTAACGAGAATTGGGATTGTGTTGTATAAGAGCAACTTGGAACAAATCATTGCCAAGGTCTGAGCGATTCCATTCTACTAAGGAAAGGCAGAGTTCACACAATAAACAAGGCCGATTAAAACGTTCGGATGCAGAATTATAAAAAGAAAAAAATATAAATGCTGCTAAAATTGGTGTCGCTCTTCCCCTAGTAAATATATTTGTAATTTATGACTTCCTCTATTAAATACATTTGTAATTTATAATCTTGACATGAAAGAAATATTTTTATCTTTTAAGAACAGCGAAGTTTTTTATTCAATTTAGAAATTTGTACAGTCGTCACAAGTTAATGTTACATAATTTGCCTAAAATGATAATAAGAAATTTGTTGACGTCACAAAAATTATAAAAATATTTTTATTTTTATTTTCTGAAATTTGAGCTTAAGCTTTACAACATTACTTATTATCGCGAAAATTCAATGGTCTAACAAATATGTAACCTCTTATTAAAATCAATTTCATAATCATTTAATTGATTTAACTCCCAGTTTTTAATATAATATTAATGTTAAAACATTATTAAAATAACTTTCACCAAAATGATATAATAATAAAGTTGTATAGTTGTAGAGCATAATATAAATTTTTCTACAAAAAATATACTTAAGTTTTTGGAAACACATCCTGGATGGATTACGTACGCGATTCTTATCGATGATATGACGTAGAATTTCTTTCGGAGTTTTCGCGAACGTACTGTCGTAACGAAGAGGTAATGAAGTGCCGATACAAGCGAATGCTATATAAGATGATCGCACTACCAGCTGAGTCAGTCATTCTCCCGCGGACTGCGACAACATCAGAATCATTTCGCTCTTCACGCGTACGGTGGTGATATAAACATAACAAGTAATAACATACATAATAATTGTCTTTCGATCTTTCCGCGTTGAGTTCTTCTTTGACGATCAGAAAGATGGATACTAAAATCTTCGCGCTGATTATTTTCGTCGGTGTCCTTGGAACCTTTATGGAGGCCCAAGCGACCCACTTCGGTTATCCTTATCCTTATGGAAGTGAGTAATGGTCGAAGGAATCAATTTTTTTTATTATTGGAATCAAATTTAATAATCTTCTGTTCATTTGTTAATGTGATAATAAATATTTAAGCATCAAATATATTTAAATCTGAATCATTTAGCATGTATAATTAAAAGTTAAAATTAAATAATAATCTCTTACTATAATAACCACATATATTTCTGTGTGTATCGCGAGCTTTTTTCTTCTATTTTTTTTAATAAATATCATTTTTACAATGTCCATTTGCTTGTTAACCTTTACAAGATACATAAATAACATAAACGAATTGTGTATCAACAAGCAATATACTATATATAGTAGTGCTAAAAATGGTCATAAGTTTCGTGCGCGATAATGATTATATTTTTTTTCTTTTACATTTTTATCGAATTTTTCTGCAATCGCGGATATGACATAATATGTAAATGAATTTATGATACGAGTTAATTCTACAATTCTGTGTTTGTTAATTGAACATAAACATACATAATCCAAAAGGAAATATACATTGGCTGCATACATAAAAATTAAATCCACGATAAGTTACATAATGACAATGTTGTGCGTTTAAGTAGAAATAACTGACGGTGCGCGGGGATTTCAGGATAATTGCGAGACTAACTAATGAAGCAAAATCTTACGACGAATTCGATAATACGCTGTAAATAATTTTACGATTTTCAATTTTTATCTCTCGGTAAGAGGAAAATGCCCTCTTTCCCTCTCTCCCTTATTAGACTGGTGATGTTGCATTTTTTTCTTGCACATGGACTTGAGAAACTGTGCAATTACCTAGGAAAGGTTCTTTGAGACATTAATAGCGCGAAATCGGACAATTACCTATTTACGTTAATTCGGTCGTTTATAAAAGGTTGTTATTGTGATTTATTAGTTTATAACAATTTATAATTACTTTAGTTTATAACAATTTATAATAAATTAAATTTTATGATAATCTTTATATAAATATATTAATTTACATGATACAATAAAATTACTCGTTAATTTTCTTTCGCTTTTTTCTAAAATTAATTGTATATAAAATTTCTTTATTAGTGTTGAAGGAAATAATATAAAACTAAAATCATCTTATCATTTTATTCTTGCACAATTATTTTTTAATAATATTAAATAATATTAATTTATTAAATATTTATTTATATCTTGTATTTACATATTTCTATTCATCGTATTTTTATTACTGATGAAACTATCCGCATCGGTTTCTCCATGAAAACGTACTTGCTACTCAAAACGCAATAAATTTTCGTATCATTATGTTAAATCATCGTTAAATTACGTCGATTGTTAAAGGCGCGAGCGATATTAATCACAATTGATTAACAAAGATTCATATCCGCGTATGCATGCGCTTCCTGCAGCTCGTATACGCGTAACTGCACATGGCCACTAACCAAATGAATATAATTTGACGTTAGCAGACCGTGACCTCATTTTGTTCCTCACCTTGACCTACGAAGGAGATACTTTCTTTTTATTTCCTTTCTATAATTTCATTCTTATGCATGACTTGATCATTTCCATTATGTTGAAAAATATATGTATCATTAATTGAATTATTATAAATGTGCATTTTTTATATTATATTAAATAATATTTTTATATTCTCTCTTTAGTAGTAAAATTATTACATTAAAAAAAGGTAAGATAAGGGCATTTTAAGATCTGTATTTAATTGTAATAATTGGTGACGTATATTATAATATATGTGTTAATTTATTTACTGTACGTGATTTTAAACACATGTATCATCAAAAAAGGAATGTTGTAAGTACGTGTTTTATCAAATTAACGTGACTGCTTCAGTTGTCACAGAATACCGCATGATTAATACGCATATCGTATAACTACACTATCGTAAGTGTACATTCACGTTTTAAAAAGATAAGCAATAAATAATATTTCTTTGCCAATTTTATCGGCGAATTTTTTATAAAAGAATGATTAATATTACAATTATGTAAGCAATTTAAAATTTGATTTTTCTACACTTTTATCGAATTTTAAATTGTTATGCGCATCTCTCATATTAATGATTCTTAAATATCATTCCCTAAATGTGTTAGTGTTTTATTAAAAAATTAGCCATTACATATTGTTAACTACTATATGATGTTTAGAAATTATATGTTTATTATAATACAAAGGTATTATTTGTGCCATATTGGCTTAGTAACACTTGTTAAATGTTATATATTATCTGTTATATGTGTGTGTTAAACATTATTTAATATTCAAATCATATATTTGAGCAATTAAGGCTCTATTATTACCCGCGTTACATCGTGATTATGTAATTATTTATGTAATTATTGTGATTGGTAACATTTTTGGCACGTTTCCGCGGATTTCTGGTGATGGAATTCCGAGAAGTAGCCCCGCATGTTGAGACTAACAACGGCATTTCAAGCAACAAAAGAATCATCAACCATACTAAGCTATCTCGATAGCAACAATTGATAAAGAGTTACTCTTTTGTTCTTGTTTCCCGTCAAAGATGGACAACTTCGCGGGCCAACATCGGTCAATTTCGACGGGATATCCAGGTCAAAGCGAGAAATTGGTGATTCGAATGGTGAGACTACCACCAGTCAAGCGACTACAACGACTCCTTCGACAACAAATCCTACGACTACACCATCATCGACTACATCATCGTCATCAACTACACCATCATCGACCACACAATCATCGACCACACCATCAACATCACCTACGACTACTCCATCCACCAGTCCAACCACCACACCCACTGATACTACCACAGAGGCAACGTCTCCTACCACTTCGGCATCCACTTCCGTTACCACCCCCACGACCACTTCCGCTACTACTCCATCTACAAGTCCGACAACACCCAGCACAACAACTCCAGAAAGCACGAAATCATCCTCCAAGCCGAAGAAATCGACAGACAACGATGTTCAATCGCGCTCGAATTTCGATGAATCCGAAGCCTCGACTAAGAAACCTGGATCACCGTCCAAGGGCGACAAAACGCCAACTCCTGGACCGTTTGGTCCAGGCATTCCCGGACCCGGTTTTGGTCCAGGTTTCGACCCCTACTTTGGTGGTTATCCCGGATTCAACTCTATACCAGGTGCCGGCCCGAATTACGCGTGGACTGGTACAAACAACGGACCAGGATACTCATCCGCGGGCGCGTCAGCTGGAAGCTTTGCGGGAGGATATCCTGGATTCTCGGGAGCGAGATATCCCACAATGGGATATCCAAATGCACTATATCCAGGAGCGGGATATCCGAGGGCAGAACCACCTATGACTACTGAATCACCGTCTTTCGATAATCGAGGAGGATTTCAGGATAATTCACCGAATTACGGAATAGGTACGAGCATGAACCTCAAAGTCCAAGGGCGAAGACGGATTCAGGATTTTGGAGAATAATGAATGAATTCTTCTTGGGATTGCATGCGGAAATTTCTCGATAAAAGATTGGAACGGCGGAGAAGACATATATCTTGATCGTCTGTTTGACGAAATCATGCCGACGTTCCTTTAAAGATGCATGATACTTTATCGAAGACAAACTTTCTTTTATACGAAGTGACTGATGTCGCGTGACAATAATTTTTGACATTTATTTATTTATTTATTTGTACTTACATTTATATATTTATTTATTTAGTTATTTAGTCATATGTGTTGATGTGTTTTACACATACTTATATATTAATTAATTAATTTATTTATTTATCTAGGCACATATGTATACTTAGGTTCTGTATAAAATCTTATGATTTATAGTATATAATCGCATGTATATTGCATTTTTTTTTTACACTGTACATCGTTGTCTGAGTTTCATTGTGTGCCTCGTTTTTCGCAGATCCCTTGTATAACGCAGGACCCGGATTTTTCTTCCCCGGACAATTTCCTAGCTTCAACGATCCTACTTTTGACATGATCAGACAGATTCAGGCACAGATCGAGGCACAACATCAAGCGTAAGTCTATCTATAAAACAAATCCGCAATTATTTCTCTCTGAACGAAATGGCCTCTCTCAATTTGAAAATTTATTCTTCTTATGAATAATTGATTCTATTTTATGAAATTATTTATATTTATCGTTATATAAATGTTTTAACATTCATTAACGAAATCATCTAATAAATCTATTATCTGACTAATCGTCATGTTTCTTTATAAATAAATGGTAATTGAAGAAGTAATCAATAATTTTTTACAAAATTATTTACACTAAAATTATTTACACTAAACACATTTACCATTACATTTATTCTTATGCTCAACCAAATATGAATAATATGAGATGTCACCTCACGTTTCATGGCTTAGGTATTGATAATCAAACTTCATGGATTTTCCAAATATCACGTAATGTATATACTTGAGTACGTGTCAATTCTTGGGGCTTGCAATTAAGTTATGAAAAGAAGTTGCAACAAAGATACTGCGAGATGATAAGCAATTCTTTTATGAAAATGAAATGTCATGATTGAGCTGCTTGATTTTCGATTATTTTTATGAGTAGTGACTCATGGTTTAAATTTTTTAAACATGATGTAAATAAGGATTTGTGTTATGACATATACACACAGTAACATGGAAGCCCACAATCGTTTGGCCAATGAAGCCGCTAGTTATGGTGGCGGAAGTTACGGTGGCGGCGTGCCACAGATTTCGAGTGCCAGCATTGGTTTAGGTCCAGGTGGCGGTTTCCAAACAGGTCTGATCAGTCCCGTAAGTTCCTTTCATTTCTGTCGGATAAATTATAAATGAAATTTCGTGAAATATTTTCGTGTAAGGCATCGTCATTATTTTTTCCTCTATCGATTATCTTTCATAGGGTGTACCAGGACTAGAGTCCAGATTCGCTGAAGAGCTTCCTGCACCATCTGGGAATAGCTTTGGAGTGTTCGCTAGTTCCAGTTCTTCCAGCAGAACCGGTCCGGATGGCAAGCAAATCAATCATAAGTCATCCATTACCGGTGTCAATGATAACGGAAAGGTTTCTTTCCGTACGGTGCATGATTAACACACTACACCTTTGATTGTATTTCCACACATCTTACCTTTAACTACTACTTTATTATCGCCTATCTTGTGTGTGTTATACGAAGTTACCATGATAGAGATAAATTTTTATGATTTAAAGTCTTAATCCGAGGATTCAGACTCAAATATTTTCCTAATTATTACATAAATACTCAAGTTTATTAAAACTAATAGATTAAAAATAATAGATCCTTTCTATGAAAATCTTTATAAATTTTTCTGTGATTATTAATTACGTTGACAGCTTGATTTTGACTACCTGCTCACGAGTAAGAATCGCTTGTAATATAATATTTGCAAGTTTTAATAAATTTTCTTACATTGATGTTATACTCGAATAATATCGAGCAATCATATTAACGATTTTATAAACAACATTTAACGACTATATGCGTATATTCTGCATTTATATTTACACACGCTTAAAGGAAATAAATATTATATTTTTTGGATTATATGTATGCATAAATTAAACTCATGACGCTTTTATATAATGATTTTATTTATTTTATTATATGGCAGTGAAATCGAATTTAATTATATGATATTAACCATTATATATCATTTTTATACGACATTTATATGATTTACATTTATTTATATGAAAAAAGAAAATAATTTTAGAATTTAATAAATCATTTCCTGATTATGTATCGTCACTAAGTTTGGTTCTGCTAAGTGGTGGGTCAATCTTATCATCCACTATGGGTTTATCTTGCGGCCGTATTTTACGACCTCGAAATTCTACATTATCACCATTTCTAAAGTGGTGATAACTCCAATATGTACGCGGTCGTTGAAAAGTTCGATGATGATACCGGGGCTCGCCATATCCTTGATAATTAGTTTGAATCTAAAAATATGAGTACAATTTTTACTTGTTGTTATATGTTGTAAAGAAAAGAAGCTTTCATTATTCAAATTAATCGTTATAATTAAAATACGGCATCTCTTACACAATAAAATAAACAAATATCGTTACCTGTGGAATGTTATCGCGATGTGAATATAATGGATTTCGGCTTATTGGATGAAAAATTGGTTTTTCCTCGTGATCTTTGATACCTTGAAAACTGTCAATTACTGGAATATCATCGATTTTAGCGTTTGGCTTTGCATTTGTGATAATGCTAAGATGCACTTCAGTTACAATATTTCCTTTTCCGTCTGGTTTTGAAGAAACGGATACATCACATATACCAGAATCTTTACAGGAATTTTCGTTTGGTAGACTATCATTGCTGTTTATAACGATTTGAATGTTATTGATAATCTTTGGTTGTTTAGTTGAATCATCCTATAAAATATTTAAATTTTTAAAAGACTATAATAATTTCAAAATATCAATATGATTATTAATTTTTTCCTTGTTATTTTTTCCTTGTTGGAAATTGTATGAAATAATTATTATAGTTTCCATAATTATTGATGGAATCTCTGTAAAAATCCTTAATAGAACATGAAATTTGTTTCTTTAAGTGTCAAAAAAATGTTAAAATAAAGATGCACAGAACGTTTATTGACATAATTATTTAGTGATTCATTCATTAATCTATTACTTGTAAATTTAATAGTTTAACTACTTTTCTTTTGTTAAACTGTTTCGAAAGCAATAATTCTGACTTATTGATAAATATACGACATGACGTACGCGAAGTTTTCTATAAATTCAACGATCTGTTTATGAGGTCGTCCATCAAATCAATAATCCAACATTGATTGATATGTTCGTGTCATTGGCATTATAATTAAATTTTCATTATCTTGCGAATAAAAATGTTTTTACGACAAACGAATTCATTTATATTATATTATTAATCTTTATAAATTCCACATAAATTCCATTCGCCACATATCTATCCGTTAAAATTCTAATGTTAATCATAATTAAATATGTTTTATATTACGTCTTATAAACTTAATATACATATATCTAGAATGACAATTCTATATTATGTAATTTTTATACATTATATGTTTTTATATAACTTTTTTATTAATACAATGAAACAATCTCATTTTTTATGTAAAACAAAATATTAATTTAACTTGTCAAATTATTTTTTTTCTTTGCAACATCTATTACTCACCTGCGAAGAACAAATTCTTCTTTTTCTTGGTTCGTTTGATTTTACGAGCCCGCTTTTATGACGCCAGCTAGCTCTCGACGGTTCTGACGCACGCGAAATTGATTTCGATAGATCAGCAGAATCATTCAGTTTCACGATCGTAACGAAAGTCGCGTTGCTTAAAGTCTCTTTATTTTCGTCAGAATCAAAATCGACCTTCGACGAAACTTCTACGCTCTCCGTGTCAATATTATTAAACGTCAAGATCGCGAAACAAGCGACAAGGATTGTTCTCGCTCGCATCTTCATCGTTCGCTCGCGAATACACGGGGGATACTGATTTTTCAAAAATATTCCTATCGCTGTATAAGATATTTCGAAGGAAGGGATAAATACTCAAGCCGGATGTACATATAGTAATGACAATCATTAGAAGAAAATTGCTGAACGACCTCCGTAAATCCGACTCGTAAAGCGTAACAAGGATGGATGTTGAGAAAAGAGGAGAACGAATATATTATATTTTTTTCAAAGAACCTCGAACCAGTGATTTTAATTGTTTCCTGAGATCGATATCACAAGACGCACGGATATGCTTGCGAAAGATATAAATAAGAGATATAAATAAAGGATAATGGAAATAGAAGATTATTATTAACAGATAAAATTGAAGCATAATAGACATTTTTTTATTCTGGCAATATTTATATTTCCTTAGAAGAAAGCAAGTTATACATTTATGAGTTGTCCAATATTTATTTTGATATTTTGAATTTTAATAATATACGTTTATTTTAAAGAGTGCGCGATTTTACATAACATTTAATCAATAAAGGGAACTAATAAATGTAAATTACTTATCGCTACTTCTCCAAGAGTGAAGTACAGCTACTTTCGTGCCGAACAAAGCTTCGCTGTAATAATGGCTCATTGTAAATGGTTTACACAGGCTACGATGAATACTCATGAATGACGTTATCTCGCGTCCATTACGATGAGCGAAGTGCTCGCTCTAAAAATGCACCCCGTTGTGGACCGTTGCAGCCAGCACATCAAGGCTAAAGCAATTTCGAATTCTGTCACCCCTCGACGTTTAGCTAAAATCTCGGGCGCAAACAAAGGGGCCTTCATTGAAATTCATTAAAAGGGGCTTGTTGCCCCTTTCAGCCCTATATAACTATGACGATCCTCTTTTCCTGATCATTCTTAAAGTTTCCTTCATTATTACGTTAAAAGATTACTCCATCATTTCGTGTAAACATTTATTAAGGACGATGTAAAGAGTGTCAGTGATGAATAAATTGCGCGAGCGATTTTAACAGTGTCACCCTTCTCTTCATATGCCTCATATAATGATTCACCCACGCCAACCGGCGTTAACCGTTCGTGCCGCTGAACATTGCGAGTGCACTTAAGTCATTCGTGCCAAAGATGCAATTATACAGTGACGGATTGTCAAGCGACCGCAGGATATTGCGTTACGTAAAACCTTTTCGTAAGATCGGTGCGGATCATCACGGTCGCACAATGACGCGGAATCTTCTTTAAGATACGTCCTACTTTGAATATCAGGAGAGAATTATCTCGCGAAAACGCACTGGCAATTAATCCGTATTCCAATTTTTCGGGTTTTCTCGCAAAAGAGCGGTCGCCGATAACATTTTACCCATCGTAAAACCGCATTTAAGCGAACTTCCGTCACTCTCGAGCGATTAAACTCTCCCCCTCGGATAGATCGTTTCTCGTTCGGTCATATATATTTATATATGACCGGACATATATATTTATATATGTCTCCTTCTTTTTTCGCACGCGTGTATTCCACCAGCTTCCGGTTTCCCAGGCACCCTCTCGCGCATTCACCGCCGATGGAGCGTAGAGAACGCAGAGAGTGCCTAATGTAGCGTGCCTAATCGGACTCGCATTATTGGGGAATCATCCGGAGACGACAGTGTAAATATGTTGCAAATTAATGTTCTGCCGGCAACGACAGCAAGGCCGTTTTTGCCCCCACGGTACGTGCTCCGTGAGGCGTCATTATTCCTGAATGCCGAACGGCTCGTGTAGCAGCGCGAATAAACAACGTAAATTCCGGATAAAACGGTTTATGGCTAAGAAAACCGGGAAGAGAGAGAGGCTTAATATAGCCCATCTAAAAGCGCATCGGTGCGCCTCGATAACGGCTGGTAGTACGTTCAAAAGTCTAACGTGTACTTCTGTTTTATAAAATACATATGTATTATTTATGAGCGCGAAAATATTATACAGAAATATCTCATAAAATATTGTGGATTTTATAGCGAGTGGAAATGTGAATCTCTCTCGAGTAGAAATGATAGGAATTTAAACAACGGTTAATGTTATTGTGAAGTGTCAAATTTACAATTTATGCGATATTTTGAAAGATGTTTCTGATTTTTATGGATTTTACACAATATAATTTCAAATTTAAAAACATTGATATATAAATTTTTATTTAATTCCATCAGAAATATTTGCTTATTTATTATGGAATTTATTCCATCTAATTTAAGTGTTAATTAAGAATCTTTTTTTAATGCAAACTTTCTCTCTATTTTTTGATACCTAAAGAAATATATCCAAAAATAAAAGACAAGTAAAAAAAAGAGAGAAAGAGGGAGAAAATATATTCTACAATATTTGTCATTTTAAACAGGATGTCGCGGAGACACCGTTAATTTTCTCTCGCGACACTCGACTCGACGCACAACTGTCGTACGAATTACAAGACTCGTTTACGATGTGACATGTGGCTTTGACGAACGATTTCCGAGAAAACAGAAACTCCTTCCTTTCGTCACTAAGAAGGGATCGCCAGAAATAAACCGGCGAACGGCTTGAAACCCCTTCGTCTTAGAAAGAACGTTTATGGCTGTTTTAGTAAAGTCAATGTCGAGGGTGGACGCAGAGAACAAAAGCAACAAATGCTGTCTATGGTATAGATAGAAATTTATTGTGCTCGTAACGCTTGGACGATTTGTACATTTATATGTTTCTTACGCTACACAATTAATTATGTACACAGGATCTTTTTATTTAGGCATGACGCACACGCATATATGCAGACACATTAAGTAAATACACACTATGTACAAAAATACAAAAAAAATAAACATATTGGCACACTCGAAACATACTCACGTGGGTAAACAAAGCGCGTATCACATGGCTCGAATTCGCCGAGAAGCCCGCTCCGTTTCACTACATGCAATACAAGTTTCCGAAAACGGGATGGTGGCAGTGCACGATGACGTATGTTCGCCGTTAGTTTTGGTAATCAAGGACGATATCACATCGAACGAGCGCCAGATACGTGACGCAACGCGCGAGAGGTGAGAATTCAGTCTTAATTTTTTACAGTATGAATAATTCACGCGATTTCTACAGGTTGTGCTCAGTCGTTACACAGAGTGTCTTGTAAAAGTACACATCACTACTAAAAATATATTCCTGAGACTAATTAGAAAATTACAATATATCCGTTTTATAAGTCTTGTAAAAACCAATTTCTTGAACATACAAAAAGTATTTTTATAAAGCGCTGAAACATAGGCCAGAGTTTTAAAAAGGTCTATAAAAGATTAAATTTTTGCAAAGATTCTCCGATATATCTATAATAAAAAATTTTAGATTTATATCAGTTGATTTTCTTTTATATGATTTTTTCTGTATCTTATATTTGATATTATCAAGACTCATTAAAATTTTGTCAATGCTTTATGCAAATTATAGCGTAATAAATAAAATTCTATGTTTTAAATTCGTTTTAACTGGCGGTTATTCTTTGAAAATCTATACTTAATTGAATCATTTTTTAAGAAAAATGCAATATATTACATTAAACTCGATTATCCTATATACAATTGCTATAAAAATGCTGTACCTGCGCGAGTACTTAAATACTAGAATAGTATATACAAAAGAGCTTTCCTATCTTAGTTTTTCGATATTATTCCTTCGACAAAAATTTCGATATGTTCAGAAATTAAATTGAGACATCTTAAAATCCAGTCCTATTTTACAACCACGCTCAATTAAACGTATCGCGTTAACTGAGTGTGAAAATCTTGTAAGCAGATAATCAATTGACTAAATGTCGGTCTCTCTTCCGCTGACATGGCCCAGCAATATGCCATCACCGCAAATAATTCGTCCGGGCAGTTTATCGGCTGCGCTAATCTGTAACCGTCTCTGAGATAGGATGCCATTTCAAAAGGATCCACTTCTACGTAAGGCTGCTGCGCCAACGTCGTTAGCTCCCATAATAAAACCCCAAAAGCCCACTGAAATCGAATAAAATTACACGATAAAAGAAATGAAAATATATTATTTAAAAATAAATAATTATATTGCATTTTAATTAAAATTTTTGAAATTATTCATTAAAGAAGAGAAATTTACTAATAAAATTAAAATGCGTTAAATTGTTGGAAAAAAATATCTAGAAAAAGTAAGAAATATTTGATATTCTTTCTCTTTGTTTAACAGCAAGTTTTTGCATTTGCATATATATATGACTTACCACATCAGAAGCTGTGGTGAAGGTCTTGCTGAGTAAACTTTCTATCGCCAGCCACTTGATAGGACGATTCTCGTTATCGCCGAGGCAGTGATAATCTTGCGGAAATAAATCTCTAGCCAAGGCGTTATCCGTAATCTGCACTCTCAAGTCATCGTCAACACTGAAAGGGAAAAAAATTCATGAAGGCAATGATTTTGCGTATGTGTGTGACGGAGAAGCATAAATCACACGATAATTTTATTACCGTTATTTTCTCGAAGTGGAATAATCAACTAGGTATTAATTAAAATCTTGCGATAACACATTTATTAAGTCTATGCGCGCAATTAATTTCAACGAGATATAACGTGAGCCTTTACTTCGTACAGATTTATAATAAAATATGAAGTTGGCTAAACGTTGAGAATAATATATCTAAATAAGATAAGATAATAAAATTTGTTTAAAAGTTTAAAAGTAAAAGCGCTTAAAAATTTGATAAAGCATTATAAAATTAAATTACTAGATATAAAATATGTCCATCTCTTAGTGAAAATTTTTATGGTATTCGTTGAAAACCAATGTATAATGATTTACTGTCTTACGTACACACAATTCCTAGCAGCCAAGTCTCTATGAACGATCCTCTTCCTGTGAAGATATTGTACACCTTTGGCGGCTTGAAGTGCCATTTCGACGACTTCCTGCGTGGTGAGAGCTCTTGGAGGCCCTTCGCTACTTAACTTGCACCTTAGCAAGAATCTCTTCATGTTTCTATAACCCGTGTGCGGGTAAAGCAGAAAAGGCGCGCTTCTGTCTTCGATGGAGACACCGAGAACCGGAAGCAGTGCTGGATGATTGAGTCCGTAAAGGACTAGGCCTTCTCGTAAGAGAAGAGCCACCTTTGAACAACAGAAATATCGTATTTGAACATCTCGATTATTTCGAAAAAAAAATCTTATCTCTCTAAAGTACTAAACGAGATGTATAAAATGTACTCTGCTTTGCTAATTTAAAGAGACAAATGCAGAAAATATTCGTCAATATATCCGATTATTTAACTTTTATAATAATTATTTATCCTATATTTATTCTATTAATTTATATTATTTATCCTAGTGAATAAAATTCATAGAGAAAATAAAATTAACCTACTTGTGATTGAGATGCGTGCTCAGCAGCAGTTTTCACAAGTACGTTTTCACATAAGCCACCCTCTTCGTGATAACTACCTCTATACACGCGTCCAAATGTTCCCTCCATTTCAATGCTAAGAAGACGTACCCTGCATCTATAATAAAAAAAATAAATTATTTTAATCTATTTTATGTCTTGCTATAATTCACGTGGCATATATTACTTGTAAAAGAATCAAAATTTTTATTTTTGTTATATTTTTATCATGACAAATAAATAATAAATTTTAAAAATATTCAACTTGCAATATATATCAGATAAATATTTAACATTTAAAATATTTATTTTTAATTTTCTAATTCAATTATTTTTATATTAATATTTAAAATATTAAATATTAAATATTTAAAGGTTATTTAAAATATAATAACCTTTGTACAGTAATTTCCTGGATTCTTTCGTGCAGTTCTCTGCTAGGACGATCATCGAGTCTTCTATAGGACGATCCTGAGGCAGCGGACGCAGGTGGCGGTGTTTCCGGCGATAAAAAGGTTTGTGCAGGTCCCACTCCGGCACTTCTTTCCATGCTGCATGCTGAGCTGAGACCTCTGGATTCCCTGAAATTCATGTATAATACGCGATATAAATATATTCTTAATGTAAATTTAAAAAAAAATTTAGCCGATCGATCCACGAACAGCTCGTATACTTACTGAAGGGGATCTCGATGCCTTGTAGTCTTCTTGTTGCGCACGTAATACATCATGGCCAGAATAAAAATAACCGTCATGACTGCACACGCGCAACCAATCGCCGCGTAAAAGATCTGGCCACCGGTAGTAGAGCCGGAGACTGCGACTAGGACCTCCTCGGGTTCGATGTAGCTCTTGTCCTTTAGACAGATCTTTTTCCGCCTGAATTCTAGATAGGTGGTGTTCCTCCGCGATAGCGAGACGTTTATTCGGAGAGTCAAGTCGATCTCCGCGTCGTAGGGCCCACAGTGCAACGATAAGGCCCACGTCTGCAGGCCAGCGAGAGGTATATCGCCGGCTTGAGAGATGTTCAGGGAACTACTTAGCGCCGTAGGATTGCTGATATCCACGGACATCGTGTATGGCAGCTGAAAGCATCAAGTATTCCAATGTCTAATGGCTGATTCATGGAAGATTCAGAGAAGAATATGTAAAAGATTAGAAGGAGAAGTGCACATAAATATACACGTTCGATGAGTACGGATCAAAATCACTCGTAAGAAAGTCGAAATGAAACAAATGTCGAAGAGAAAAGGTTCGTCGCTCGGTCACAATCCCAAGAGAATGTTGAACCTTCCTATGTAATCTCAAATATATACCATTCTCTGAAGACAATTTGCGCTCAGCGAGAGCAAAGAGTGAGTCCGAAGGGCCGACTGTGCGAAAACAAGACTCTGGAGAGAAAACGGTGAGGGGAGAAGAGAAGGAGAGGCCAGTGGTACGAAGCAGAAGTACAGAGCTAGACGAACGCGAACTCGCAGCGCTGATTACTAGCTCGCAGTGATGATCGGTTCTCTCGGTTGGCCGCGAAGAGAGTATCTCGTCAACCCGCTCTTGTCGCTATTACTATATATCCACCGTACCGTTTTCCTGCGGTCTTTTACGGTCGCGAGGATCGCGGCTACGCGGCCAACCAGCAGGCAGTTTCCTCCAAATGGACTAGCGGATTCTACTTAAGAATCTAGATACACGGGAGATGAGATTTCTCTTCCGAATGACTTACAATCAGCGATACTTCATCATACAAGATATGCGAGAGTAAGATATTATTTCGATTAATGGCAAAAAAAGTGTAGTAATTATTATAATTAAAATGTAAAATGTCGATCACATCTGCACTTTCTTTAGAACGGCGTAATTACTTCTGACAGATGGCACGATAGACATATCGTGATGAATGTGGCATCCTTGAAAAAATGTCCTTGCAAGGGATACGCTTTATTTTATATATCTGTGACAAAGAGGATGTCAATTTTCGTACGCGTCTTTATGCGCAGAAATTCCTCCCATATTCTCATTGCGATTACAATGCAGTCCCCGCATCCTCTCATTAATTTTCGAATCCGCCATATGCTTCATCTTGAACGGCGTCGCGTGATGAGCGCGAGGGAAGGAAAATTGCTACTCGCTCTTTACAAATATCCGATCGAAATTGAATGCGTCGTAAAGCCGTCACGAGGATTCCCCGATAATTCGACGTGTACAATCGTTCGCATCCGGAACCGCTTTATCGAGACGCAATCCCCGCGCGATTTGACGGACAGGCCGCTGGGTTTAAGTGCCATTCAAGCCAACTCGGTTTTGCCGCGCGGAGGTGACGGATGTCTTTGCGTCGCTCGTCAATCTCTTCCTCATCTCCTTCTCTTCTCTCTCCCCCGGTCTATCCCTCTTCTCGCTATGCGCCGAGACAACTGGGAAAGAAGTGGATGGACCACTTTGTCCCGCTCCTCCTGGAGATCCGTCCTTTTTTTCCGCGCATCGTCGACGAGTCAATCGGACACCCCGTCGCATTCTGCCCACTTTTCGCCGCCACTTTGTCAATGTATCACGGATGTCGACGGCGAGCAGAAGCGGTTTGCGAGGCTTCGCCGATGACTCATGAACGAGAGCAAGAAAAGAACAGAGAGAGAGAGAGAGAGTCGGGTTTCGATTTTATATCCCGCATGAATATGCAGCCTCGTGATTCTCACCATCATAACTATCGCGCGGTCGCGTCAGTCGCGTCGTTACATTAAGAATAACATAAAATTAATTCGCACGGTAGGACGCTTACCGGTTATTTATTCGAGGCAAAAAGTGATAGAATTCGATTGGTCAGCTCTTGGTTAATTATTCTGAACGTACTCGATTAAGATGAGGGAGACGATAAAAAGGTGCAAGGAGATGAAAAAAGAAATGTGGATAGAAAATATCTTTAATTAATAAAAGAGGAAAAGGAATTTATATCAATTAAACTTTATCTAAAACCGACGCAGGGGTATATCTCAAATATTTCCACTGACTTCTTCTCGCTAAAATATACTTCACTCGTTATTTATCGACGAGTGTACGCTTTCGCGTTGTCGAGAACCTGAGAAACGGAAAAGAACGATATGCTTCGATAATCCTGATAAGTATAGCATACCACAGAGATACGAAAGAAACATGAATATAAAGATCAACTGAAACCTCTCGAACGATGTAATCGCTAAATCCTGAAAAATGTTCGCTGAGATTTCTGTCAGAGAATCATCTCCGAAATATCTTAGCAAATCGTTACATCAGCGAGCAATTTTTGCGTTTTTTAATCGCGACTTTAATCTCGGCGAGAAAATGCGAAAAGACACGAAGAGAGAAGTAGCAGGAAAATTAGGGACGCGAATAAGAAGTATAGATGCACCCATCGAGAATATTGTGTCTGTAAATATCTTATTTTGTTCTTATAATTCTTGTTCTCGACACATCGTTATATCTATGCTCAATTTATATGCTTATAATCTTTTCGCTTTATACATCTTAATAAAAATTAGACATTTTTGATTCTAACAATATTTTACGATTAACTTTAAAATACTTTAAAATTTTTTTATTTACAAGAATCACTTTGATCAAATGTAAATTAATTTGTCAGGCTTCCAATATATATGTATATCGCTTAATATAATTGCGTATTTCATCTTCTCATAGACTTAAACCTTTACTATATCTTTATTAAGATGTTTTTTACAATACTTTATTAAAATGTTTTTATGATACAGTCTGCATATAAATTTATGTATGAGAATAGAAAAACAATATTTTTCTGCAAGAACTTACCGGTTTTCCGGCGAGATTTTCCCACGTAAAGTGGAGTTTATGAAGTTGTGCTGGTACAGGAACAATGAATTTCACGGCATACTCATTTATAACGCCCTCCTTGACATAAAATAACTCTGCATTTGACACTCCTAGAACAAATAAAATAAGTTTAGTATTTTATACATTGTTTGACCTGAATTATATAACAATTTATTTTATTTTTTTATATTTTTATATAAATTTCCATATATATATATTTTTTTTTGTCAGTTTCTTCTAATTAGTATAATATATGTAATTAAATACGTAAATTTCTCAAATTATTTATTAATATAGATTAATAACATTAATCATTGCGTTTAGAAAAAAGATTTATTTATTCGCAAATTTTTCCTCTCAAACGCAGTGCCTTAGTATATGAAAGCTATTTAATTCACGACGTGACTCATTCGGTTTCACTCATATTACGATTAACATAGCGTGCATTTGCTCCACAAATCTACGAGAGTGATGTGTGCCGTGTGACTCTTGCATTAAAAGCTCCATTCATATATATCAAATGTCACGAAAACTCTTGACAATTAAAAAGATAAAATTAACACATGAAGTGAAATTATCATTGCTATCAGTAGCAAATATAAAAACTTGAAGTATTTAAATCGTAGAGAAAATCGAAATCTTTTATAAACTAGAAAAAATAAGAAGACAAAATAGAATAATTTTAAATTTACATAAAAAATCTATTACGTTTACTTAGTTAAGACTAATTTTTCAAAAGCAAATATAAATTTCATAAGACGGAACATGAAACGCGGCTTCTCTTTTCTCTTCTCATATTTCTCTTTGGTTATCCTAAGAAAAATAGACGAAAACGAATCTGGAATTGAATTGTATTCTTGCTCCAGTAATTTACAGCAAATTTACTTTCTTCTCCCAGTATAACGAATATCAAGGTTGTTAGGAAGTTTAATTTCTCTTTCGCAAAATATAAAGTATATTTTTTAATTATTTTAAATTATTTTAAAAAGTTAATAATTATTAAGTTAATAATTATTAAGTTGACATATTTACATTTACAATATTTTTATTTTTTAATTGATGTATTAAATTCCTCAAAGGACGAAAAAAATCTGTCTGCTTCATTATCTTTAAACACACGAATAATTAACACCTGTGTAGATATAAACTGTGTAGATATAAAAGGAATACTTGACACGAGCAGAGAGAGAGAGAGAGAGAGAGAGAGAGAGAGAGAGAGAGAGAGAGCAACAAATTACCGCGTGATGCGCATTCGCTTCGCTAAATTCTCGCCCGTCCCATCGGACTCACACTTAGCACACATTATGCTACCGGACGACCCGACCGAAGCGAAGGTTGAGAGCTACAAGATTACGTGGGCGAAAAGGTGGAGTATCGGAGAAGAATCCCACCGTAAAGAAGAGACCGGGACACGGACCGTGCGTTGTGTTACTCCCTCGGAGAGAGGGGAGTCTATCCTTTGCGGCTGTATCTGATAGCGTGTGCTTAACGAGGCACGAGTCGGATTTTTAAGTCACCCGAAGACAATGCGCCACCCTGCCCCCGCGGTCGTGTCTTTGCTTTCAGTTCGCCCGCTTCGGCGTCTCTCTCCCCCGCGGCCCTCCGGTCTTTACCGGTTTTCTGCATCAGATATCGTATACTCACGACCTCGGTACCTCGGTCGTTTCTATGGCCCAGAGGTTTCTCTCGCTCCTGTCCCATGCTAGGAGGATCCCCATCGTGGCAATCGTCGTAAAAAGCACGAGGGATGAACCCACTGCGCGAATATTTTCCCTCGAAAATAATTATCCTGGTTTCTGAAAAGCCTATGAATGTCTGCTCGGACTACCTGCTACAAAAATCGATTTCAAAAATCTCAAAAGTGGCACGAAAGAAGCCAATAAAGGCCAACAGATGCGCTCGTTGCCATTGAATACGACGGATATGGCGAGCACGATCGTAAAACGGCAAACAACATTGTTATATTTCCCTTTGGAAATTCACTGCTTTACGAATAATATACGACTCAATCCCAGAAGGATAAAGATCTGACTAGACGGTAATTAATTGCGTCTCGGTATGTTCCTACCTAGGATAATCCAATTCTGCATATATATTCTCCGTCTCAAGGGAGGCTTTCGCGATCGTTAATCCAGCACAGAGTCCACTCCATTCCCACGCGTCGGAGGAAGGTAAAGTGTAATCCTTTCGGCATCAAAGATAACTTTACCTCGTCCCCCTGCATCGTCGATGACGCTTCGACTATGACCTCGTTATCACGGTTTGCTTTTCGCCTCTTATCCAACCGAGAAGGGTGGCATCAGCCTCTTTGGCACTCTTCCCGCGCGATTATGCGGGAACTTTGCGAGCGGGTGGAAGCGTGGAAGCAGGTCGACGAGTACCAAAGGTTCTTTGATGTCCGCTGTGCCTACCGCGCGCGAACCAGAAAGCGACAGAGAAGTGTGTAAGCCGGTGACAAAGGAGAAGGAGAAGACTCAAAAGCGAAAGAGAGGGGAAAAAAAGCCCTTTCAGTAAAGGCGTCGACCCTTGCAACTGCTTCCAGACACAATTGTCACGAGGGATTCTGCCAGGGCACCATCTTTCCCAGAATTTGCTCCTACCGCTCCTACAAACTACCGATTACCACTGAGCCTAATAGCGAATTATTGCCACCTTTACGAGAGAAAATTGTAGATACTCGTATAAGAAGTAAGAACTTTTACACCACCGGCAAATTTGGCTGCAAATGTAATAGTAAATATTTATTTTCTTTTTCTTTCTTATACTTGGCAAGAAAAAAATATTCAATTAAAAAAAAAACTATCACTGACTTGATTAAAATTTCAAATTTTCTTTTAACGTGATTTCATCTCAGAATTTTAATAAAATCACGTTAAAAGAAAAGAAGTCGTACATTGTAATTAAAATTTTTCAAAAAGATTTAATTTCAAAAATTTTTATTAGGTCACAAAATTTTTTGGTTACTATTCCAAAGTGTTTGAAACATTTTTTCTATCGCAACATTAATTAAGAATTAAACTAGAAATAGGTAGAGAACTAAAACGAAAGAGATAAACGCAAATACATAAAAAGAAGATGCTCTGAATAATGAATTTCTTTTATTTAATAAAATTAAATATTATAGATTATAATTTATCAGTTTAAATAATTATAGAAATTATAATTTATCACTTTAAATAATTAAAAAATAAACTCACACTTTCTCTTTACAAGAATACGATATTCTGAATATTTGACGCTGTTCGAACCATTTCTCATTCCAATAAAATCTCCAGCTTGTTCAATTATTGTTTAGAGACGTAATAATTCTAAAGAACGTTTTTACTTTTGTTAAAAGGGCCGAATAGGCTTATAAAGGAAAATGGCAAAATACGAATGCAGCCGGAGAAATTTCACACACCACGGTATTCTGCGCTGTCAAAATACGGCATTGAGCCACGTTGACGAGGTCGTCGAATAATAGAGTAGACACCAGGGGGTGAGAATAAGACATGTTCAAGACAGTGAAGTATTATAAGAGAATGAAGGCTTCTATGTAATCTCTGTGAACGAATCTAAAAAAAACCGACAAGATTTTTCAGGTGATAACAGCATCTTAATACAATAAATTTTTTTATTTATAATAAAATTGTAGTTTAGAAATTACAATCTACCACTTTAAATAATTAAAAAAAGGCAAATATTAAAATTTATAAAGTTATTTGTAGAATTCTAGTGAAAATTGACACAGATTTCCAAATAATTAAAGAACAAGAAAAGAAAATTTATAATAATTATGTCATATTTACGCAATTTTTTGAATGAATTTTATAACAAGATCTTCTTTCAAATTTTAAAATTCTCTTCTTTATATAATCTCCGCACTATTTTGAACATCAATTATCAAATGCGAATATCGCTAAAGATCTAGTGAAGAATATCTAGATAAATCTTACTCGTGACTTCTTAATTGGCATCTCCAAAGCAAGTCTGGAGAACAATCGTTATAAGACAAATATATGAAAACGAACACCGAGTGAATGAAACGAGCGGATGTATGCATCGTGCGAAGGCGCGAAACCGTCCGCGAAATTCTGCGGTGTCCCCTGCTGTCAAAATACGGTATTGAACGGGGCTGACGGGTGCAGCTTCGGAGGCTGGTCGAGTAAAAGACCGGGGCCCGAAACTGCTCGAGTAAAAGGCCGCCCAGAGCCTTCAACGGGGACCCACCACCACCGGCGGGGGTCAGGGGGCTCTTTGGGTCAGAAACCCAACACCTTCCGAATATGAAATCCGGTACGCGTATAACGAGATCCTCCCGTGGTGAGGCGAGGCGAGGTTTCTTGAAAGCCGGAGACCTGAAACCGGGGTTGCGACGAAGGACACGAGAAAATAGAAAGAGAAAGAGAAACGCAAAAGGGTGGAGAGACGCACAGGTCGAGGAGACAGGAAATATTGGATTTACGCGACGCCTACTCACAATACGGCGTGCACGATTTTCGTTCAATTCCCGTTCCACGTCGTCGCGTCTTATGCATCAATAGCGCCAACGAACGACAGGTTAACAGGAGAATGCAATCCCTCGAATGCATCTGCGAATGAGATCACGCAGAAATTAATCTGCGAGACGAATAAAACGGAGCATTTCGCGAAGGAAGGCGAGATTTAAAAAAAAAGAATTTTAAAAATGTATAAAAAATAAATAAATAAATAATAAAGAATATTATATTATAGATAATAAAGAATATTATATAATATTATAGATAAAGAATATTATATATAGAATATTATACGATTTTAAAATTCTAGAAAGACATCATCCGTGTGCATATTACTCCGTTTTTTTTATTTTCTAGATGACAGGAACGTTACTTCGAGATGTCCGATTTTACGACGTGGATTCTGCCTCTCTAGCTCGCAATTGCATCTATCACGAGCGAGTGACAGGAAGAGTAAATCTCGATATTTCGAACCCGAATACGGAGCCGCTCCGCGTTTCGCAGACGGGCGTTCGCAGCGTGCAACGAACGACCGGCGAGCGGTGATTTACGACAAATTCCGCCCCGCGGAGATTCGCGCGCGGTTTCTGAGGAAATTCCGGCGCTCCAAAAATGATCCGCGCGAGCGAGGT